ACCATTATCCAGGTCTGCTGCCGTGCTGCCACAACTACTGAGATTTCCAATGAATGGGGAAGAATGAACCGCAACCTCACTGTGAAAAGAAAAGTAACCCCATAGAGACGCAAAGAGTGTTCTTCCTTCATAACTGGGGATATTATGCAGCTCTGCTTTTAGTTTGTAGCTGCTTTTGTTACACACAAATACTGTTCAGTCCAATTTTGCACTTTACCCATTTCATTATTTTTGCAATTATATGTTTTACCTCAAAATACCCAATGAGTGATTGCAGATCTCGTTGGGGTTTCGTTTGACATTTTGTTTTTCATCTGGGACAACACGCAGGAAATGCCCACTTGGAATTTTATGACGACATTAACCACAACACCTCAATGAGTTACCCTTCTCTGAATCACAGAATTGGATTCTGTTCACTACAACAGGCCGGCCCGCGCAGCTGGTAGCCTTCTGTACATTATGCACCAATGAAAAGTAAACAACGCTGCCTGTGTGCCAAGCAGCCCCACAGGCAAACAATGTCTGAATGGACTGCATTTAAAAAAACAACAAAAAAAAAACGTATAAAAGTCAATTTCCACTGGATTATGGTATTATGTCCTCCGAGGGTCACTGCTCTCATCAAACCTGAGATGACTGCAGTATGAGCAGCTCAATACAACTGAACCAATTGCCTTCCTCAACCTCATCTCAACCCCTTCAGGTTCTTTATAGCGTTCATAACAAAATTCCCTACGCAGACTAAATTGGCTCCTTTAAAACAATGATCTAATACAGAAAGATGGGAGGTTAACGGCGCGTAATGGATTAGGAGTCAACCCCGGTGCATAATTACTACAGTCATTACGATAAAAAAAGTCCTTTTTCGAGTCGTTAATCTTTTCGACCTCATTCTGATTGGAGAGGGGTGTTGACACACGAACTACATGCACAAAGACAAGGAAAGAAATCAAAGACATGATCCTTTATTTGCCCTGTAAAAGCAAATGTAATGACATGCATTCAAATTTAAAACACTTTAGCACAAAAGTGGCCCCCATACCAGTTCTGTCTCCTCTCCTCATCAATCGTTGTCTGATACCAATCCAAAAGGTACATGGGCAAGACGAGGGATCTTGGAGAGTGACCAAAACAACTGAACAACGCAGTGCTGCCATTTGTGTAAACACACCTGAGCTATTACACAACAGAGGAAATGGGACCCTGTACACAAATGTGGACCTACATCGTCATCGAGACAGAATGTGGAGTAAACAATGAGAGCTGCATCATACAGATGCCTCCCAGTCACCTGGCTGGATGCTGCATCCCCCCACACCCGGTCCTGGCCTCCACCCGTGTCGTTTACAGATTGTCAGCACAGCCCCTCCGGTCCTGCACTCTCCAGGCTCTCGACCAGGTGACACTTTGAGCACCTTCTGTTCAACCTCCCGCCAAATAGAATTAAGGAGGAATTAAAATCTCAATGAGCCTAATAATTAAACTTTAATGGTGGACATAAAGCAACTTGACACCCCATAAAAGCCACAGGCAGCCAGCATAGCAGTAGCACCGAGTGGAGTCCCTTCAGATGACAAACATTTCTTCTTTTGCAGACAACATATTGCTGCAGTCATGACAAAACCACGTAGCAAATATTGGGCGTTTGGCTTATTAAATGAAAACGAAAAAGGGTTATGGGATGAAAATTAAACAGGTCAGCTCAAACCAAAATAAAAACACTGCAGCTTTATATTACTTCCCTTCCTGAACTGCTGTTCAGGTTGAAGTCATTGTTGGCTCCTGTGAGCTTCTGTTACTGCATTTAGAAAACAGTCTAAAACACAACACACAACAAGAAATCACAAAACAAAACTGTAATATTTCATCTTACCCATCAGTACACTTGTGCTGAACCGCTTTCTTTGACCGAAAGAACAATGGTCTTAACTGTGCGAGCAGGCTGGCCAGTACAGAATCAGACTGGTTGGGCATCCTTTCATGTCCACTACAGGGCATTGTAAGCAGTCTTGATATATAAAGAGTGGGAAACGTAGTCCGTCTTTCACGTTTCCATACATTTTACACAGCAGCCTTCCCATTTACCCACAATTTGCATAATTAACATCAGCGCACTTGTTTGACTCGAGAGAAAAGTGCTTCAGAGAGACGGTTTATTAAGCCTTTGGCCAATACTTCCTCAGTGTTTAAAGAATCCCACACTTCATAGACAGCAGTACATTGGTGCCAACCTAAATGAAAAACAGCATGAGAAAATGGAAGCACTGCAGGCTACAGATTGGAAACAGTGAACAGATGAAAGGCAAGAAGTTGAAGAAACTTTCCAAAGATCTTATCAAGATCCGCAACGTTTGTTCACATGCTGCACACGACTTTGTTATGCACTGAAATTGTTGTTGCATGTTGAGCTTATTCAACAATACATTGTTTAACCATTATTCATAAAGCCATACGATGCAGTCAAAGTCTCTTCCTACCAATGACCAGAAATAAACATGGTTTGGAAAACTACTCTCATTCAAATGGACATTCACAACATGCACTGCCCTCCAGAATTATTGGCACCCTTTAGTAAAAATGAGCAAGATTTTTCATTCCAAATATTCACAAAAATCTAACCTTCAACTGAGGTAACATCATTTCAATGAACTTTACTTAATAAATGGAAAAAGTTTTCAGTTAATATTTTGTGCAGCCTCCCTTTGCCAAGATAACCGCTCAGAGTCTCTCTTACAATGCGTGATGAGGTTGGTGAACACATGGCACTGGATCTGAGACCATCCCTCCACGCAGAATCTCTCCAGATCCTTCCCATTCCGAGCCAGACGCCGGTGGAAGGTCTATTTTGGTCTAATCTGACCGTATAACCCGGTCCCATTGAAAGTCCCGGTAACGTTTAGCAAACTGCAGTTTGTAGTCGATTGGCAGCAGAGGCCTTTTCCCTGGCAACCCTTCCTAACATCTTGTGGTGATGTGGGTGGCGTCTGATGGTAGTTCTAGAGACATTCTGACACAAAGACTCAACTAACCTCTGCAACTAATTCTCCAGCTGAGATCCTCGGTGATTCCTTTGCCAGTCGAACCATCCTCCTCTCTGAGCGTGGGGTCAAATGTACACTCACGTCCTCAGCGGATTCTCCTGTTGCTTTAAACTTAATTATTGCCCTGATAGAGGAGTTGGGTCTGTTTTTTTGGACCCATTTCCTGGTTTGTGTAGCTTTTCGTCGCACATCTTCACCGTGTTCTCGGGTCTTTCTCATTGTGATGAACGACGAAGGGAATTTGGCCTTTCGTCTCATATTTATACCCCACTAAAACAGGACGTCATAGTTGAACACTTAACAGTTCATAGGGTCATCTTGAAAACGAAAAAAATGACTGGAATTATTCTTCAGATTTTATAGGGGTGCAAATAATTGTGGCACACATGTTTCGTAGAAACATCTTCATTAAATGTCAACCTTATTTTTGTTAAACAATTTCACTTTATTCAAAAGGCAGGTTGGTAAATATTTTGAGTGAAAGACCAGTAGGATAAAAGACAAAGACATTCTGTTCACAGCCTGTTTTGCTCATTTTAACTAAAGGGTGCCAATAATTCTGGAGGGCATTGTACTACTATTGTTGAGCAGGCTTGTCATAGTGGGCAGTAAAGTCCACCACTGCACTGCATGCTCTTATCAGAGCAACCACCTGTAAAGGCAACTGGTACTGCAGTATGAATAGAACAGCAGTGGCCCAGTGGACATTATAAGAGGCTTTAGCCATTCCTTCAACCTTTCAGACCTTCTGACGCGGTGCTAAACAGAATGAATTACCTCCCGGCCAACGCGCAGCTCAATCAGAGCCTGGACGTCTGGCAGCATTAACTGCTGAAGTAAACTGCCTGCCTTGACTACAAACGCATTCAAGTTTAAAACAAAAAAAGGAGCAACGCTCCCCCCTGCATCTCATTTACATTTCATACGCACAATTTCTCTTGTCACTGAATAAAAGCCCTGCCTGCCTCGTTCTACGTCTCAACCACAGAACCCTCATTTAGCTAAATGGTATAAAGAAATGCAATTCAAAACATGTAGCAGTCATACATATAAAACAGTAAAAACAAGCACCTTGAGTGCTACATTTGCAAAAGGTCAAAATGGTGATAAAGCACAACAACTGCAATGACATTCAGGTGATTGTCAGGTGCGTTTGTGGACTAAGCCGCACATTTATTTTCCGTAAGGCTGACGAGAATTCAGAATGTCATGTTACCTTTTCCGCATCAGAATGGGCATTTACATAATATATTAAATTCATTAACCTTATCCCACAGATCAGTCTGTTTTATCACATCTATTATTCCTCTAAATTACAAGATTAACAGATGCATAAATTAGAAAGCAGTGATTTCCCACGAGATGCAAACTGCTTGGTAGGCTGTATTGCACGTGCAAAAATCCCATATATTTAATATACTGCTATGATACAGCTGTGGAGAGGGACAGTCGAGTCCATAGCTGCAGAAGGGTGGTGAGCATCAGCTGCAGAAGCAACAGGTGAAGCAATCTTTCAGCACCTCTGACTGCGTGTGTAGGTTGTGTGCAGACTGCAACGTTACATAACGGGGGCACAAATCTCTGAAAAAGAAATATCTGACAAAATTCTGTTCTCCGTTAATCATTACAGCGCTTAATTTGTGACAAATTATATCATTACTACAACCAGATCCAAAAGGAATCTAGTCATTAACCTTGTTTCTCCCGGGCACAAGGTAGAGCGGGAACTGCAACTACAAGTAGTCAGAACGTTGTCTAGTTACTGTGCAGCAAATAGGAGGCCACATCAAGGAGAGCAGATGTTCAACTCAACATTTGCCACAATCACACTCTTCCGCTGTGCAATGGCTTAAGAACCAGCACTTTCGGAGTCTTAACAGTAGAGGGTAGCAAAGGGCAATTTAATAGCCTCCAAGCTACAAACAGCTCCCAAAAGGTCAAAGGGCAGATTCTTACCGGCATTGACAATGGCATCCAGCTCCAGGACCGTAATATCTCCTTTGTAGAGAGATACTTTGTCTCTCAGTCCTCCGCCTGGCAGCTCACTCCCTTCATCTTCGTCATTGGCTGTAATAAACAAAAAAAAAGAACTTAAAGTTCTCGCACTCATTCAAAAAAGAAGATCAGAATATTGAAGTGTCTCAATAAATAACCATTTATTTCTTTATAAAAGACATTCATTCATTGTTCTTGAATTTACTAAAAGATTATTATTCAGGTAAATATGTTGATGTTGATGGAAATAGTCTTGTTCATTATAACAGTTTCTTATGAAGCAATACTTCATAAATATTAATTTAATTCACAGTAAAAGTGGAAAATCCATCCATAATATACCATTGATTCTCCTTATGGGATTTGACATGGACCCTGTGGATTTTAATTTAGAATAAATAATTTTGTATTCATTCCCTTTTCATACAAAGATATCAACCTTTTAATTGTGTGATTTAGTGTGCGGTATCTTCTGTGAATAACAAGGCTGGTTTGGCCCGTTGTAGAGTTTACCTCCTTTAGGAGCTCAGCAAAGAAAGATTTACAACCAAGGAGCTGTGAATCAGAAGTTCTGTTTCATACTGCAGAATAAAAAAGTTAATAAAACGTTATTGCAACGCGTTTCATTTTATTCCGATAAATATAATACAGCAATGAGTGAAAATCACCTAGCTTACTTTTATAAGTTGCCGTCTTGTAAACGTCATATTCGAGATGGATTTGTGTGTGTTTTGTTATTACTTTTTAAATTTAAAGCAACATTGAACCACTGTGTCAATAAAGTTCATGCAGTATATTTTTATCACTCGACCAATTCTACATTCTAGGTGACTCAGTGACAGATTACCACCACCGCAATCTACTGAGAGCTTCATTCAACCTTAATTCTTCTTCTCACACGACCTCCGCACGATTAAATTCACCTCAGAGCTAATTAGAACTTTAATGTTAACTGTATTTAGGTGGTTCTGAATTGCTATACTTTTATTAATATATATGGTTCACTTAAACATTCTATTTATAAGAGTACCTTATAGCATCAGCAGCAGTGCAAAAACTAAACTAACGCAGTAGAAGTTACTTACTTAATATTATACACTCTTTGACATATTTTTGCCATTACCCCGTATGCAAAACATGTTGGTGAGAAAAGAGCCTACAAGAGGGAACATTGGGCTTTCAACAAAGTGCACCATCAGGGTTCAATTTACAAAGCAGCAACCATGTGACTGAAAAACACTTAAATGCTACATTCCAAATGTTCATGGCAGTACTCTAATGGTCTGTTCTCACTTCCTTATTGGTGTTTTTAGGTATAAACCACAAACCAAAAAAGAAAAATATTGTCACTATGAGAAACCATGTTAAGGATGTTGAAGATTTTCAATCTGGTTCATCAAGCAATGTTCATCATCATAATCTGAGTTTACATATTTACCAAAAATAAAGTATGAATAATAATTTTACATTTCATACTTAAAAACACTACAACCTAACCTTTATTAATATTATTATAATAATTGTTTGGGGGGGGGCTGTAAAAACGGTGCTATTATGTGCTCGCTTTTTGTTGCGGAATGTCTCGAGTTGGGTGTCGTTGCTAAGTCTCTCTTACGTCTGCTGTCCTGTCGCAAGGTTGAGATGCTGTCCAAAGATACAAAATCTTGACGGCGATACTCCTTGCGTCTTTCCTCCCGATCTAGACGGAGCAGTCTCTCTGTGGAGGGAAGACGACACGCATTAAACACGAATGCAGCCGGTCCCACTGAAGCCCGGATCAGATCAAAAGGGAAATGGACTTGCTAGACGGCATCGACGGCTGAAAACAAATAAAACATTCATTTCCAGTGAGAGACAGAGACTCACTTAAACCTTTAGATTTATTATTTCATTAATGTCCTCACAAACTGCCTTCCATTGTCCCCCCATAGTTGTAGTAGACGGTTGAGGTCTTGCACAGGTTGAGGTTGGACTCATCCTGCACCGCTCACCTGGTACAGCCGCCATCATCATCATCATCATCATCATCAGTCATGTCCCACTGTGAGAGCTCCACACCTCGATGGCTCTCTAAAGTGACTCTATAAAAAAATGGGGATCTTAAAAAAAAAGTAATCACTAATATCGTAACCCCTTTTGGATTGCATGGACGAAGTGCAGGACCAGCAATGCGCAGTCTACCGCACACAATACAACAGACACTCTCAGCCACGCATCATAGAGACACAACGCAGGTACCAATCAGACACCTCAGCACCATTTGATTTCACGCATTAGTCCTTCATCAACGGGGGCGATAATTTGTGAAAACTGTCTGTTGTGGGGATCGGCTAAAAGGAAATTGCGCATACTGCTTCGTCCCCATGGCGCTCGTGTGAGAACCACTGCACTACGCGACCCTGTGGCCTAAGCTTCATTGCACAGACTGTAGGTCTGCAGATACAGCCATTCAAAGTAAGCTCTAAAGCATATTCCTATTTGTGGTCTATTTGACTCTAAATAGACCATCATTTCAATAAATGAATACCATGTGGTATTTAAACTAGCAATTGAGATGACATTATATCACAAATTAACATTTCCAATATTTACTGAGTTAATATATTAAGTGAAAGGTAGGATCATTTTCTCTTATACTGCCATGCAGTCTGACTTCATTTTGCAACTAGGGGAGGGGAACCCTGTGGGTTTGGTTTTAAGAAACCTCTGCATTGGCTTTGGCAGAATAAAGGCTGGCGCATGCTTCTACGTCTGCGTCGTTGCCTCGACGCACTCGTTTCAATTCATGGTTCTAAAAGTCTTGTGTGCAATTCACCTCCAGAACAACAGGTGGAGTAACGTGTTTTTGTTGAAGACGACCTAGAGAGTCACGTCTTTGTTTGTGGAAGTCGTTGGTTTGTTTATTTATTTATCATAGACTTTATTGCCTCGTGCATCGCCACTGCTGCTTTTCATCGCGGACACATTTGTCCCGTATTTTCCTCCACAACTTTGTGCACCTCTCGACCGGCAAACCGACGTTTGCGGAGATCTCCCTCCATGAATCAGGAGGAGGTGTGAAAAGCGACGCAAGGGACACGCAAGTGGGTCCTGCGTCTGCGTCGCTCTGAAAACGCAGAAGCATAAACTAGGCTTTAGAGGTTGCCAAAAATAATTTGGCCGAATACGGCTGTGTTGATCCTGTTATGATATGGCCAAAATGTCTGCAGTGTAAATAAATGGCCTATTATACGCTTTGGAACTTGAGAAATGACAAAGAAATGAGTCTGTGATGAATCTACTCTGAAGAAACTGACCGTCATAACTAACTTAATTTTCGTTTTTCCAAGTGTTAACAATTCTTAATACTGGGTAATAAAGACTGACTGACTTTTAATACATCCTTGACATAAAATGCTTTCAATGAGCCCATCTTTCAAACTCGTTAATGGTTCTCTCACCAACACTGAACAGGCAAACTTGTTGGGAAAAGTAAGTACAGGCAGTAAAAATGATTTGCTTTTTAATTAAAAAAAAAAAAGAAAAACCTAAGCTATAACTAGATAGCTACGCTGCCGTGTGCAAGTGCGGTTTGTTTTATAACAAATTATAAAAAGACGGCTAACAGCCAACGTAAGGAACATCAAACATCTGCTGCTTAACTTTAGTGGTGCTGTATCGCTCTCACAGCTTACGCCGTCATGTTCACAACATCTACAAATGAGAAAAAGCCTCAACTTGATATTGTTTTTCCAGGAAACACTGGGCTGTTCTGCAAAACGAGCCTTCTCCTAATTGCCATCTTCACTGCGAAATCTCTGCTAAATAAATACACAACTGCACACAGTGGTCAATAAAAACATCCCCTGTATAGAGCAGTTTATGCTGAAACTAGATGTGACAGTACACAAAAACGCCCTTATAGTTTACTGTAGTTGCTCCTTAAACAGAATGTTGATGCTTTGCATATAATAACACCCAACACCATAGGAACTTTTATAAGTCTTGCCTCAAATGAAAGCCTAAAATGTTAAGGCAACATTGTGAAGAAGATCGGGCTGCAAATAAAAGGTATTTCCGCAATGGTGGATATCCATTCTATCCCCAGTGTTGCTGTGGTACGTTTGCTCTCCCTCATGCCCGCTCCTGTCATTCCCAAGTCCGCTTTTATTCTACATGGATGACTAAAGAAGGCAGTTTGGAGAATGAACACAGCAAAGCTCTCTGGACGACGCTAAAGAGCTTTGGCACTCTGAACGCTGAACTTAGTAGTTGAAGAATCCCAAAGCTTAGTTTGGATGCCATGAGAACCGAATGGGCTCTGAATGTGCTTTGCTGATGTTGCTAATATTGATAATGAGTAGATTGTGATTGTGTTACTGGAGTTGATGCTCAAAGAGCCATACAATTTCTCCAAAAATCCGTCAAACCAAATAAAATGCAAGGAAACGTTGCATTTCATTTTCTAAATACCATTAATATTCTGGTTTGATGTTTTCATATTGAGTTCATGTGTGGCACGTTTCTGCAAAATGAGGAGGATTTTACCAACACAATTTACAATAATGTGTGTTGATACTACATTTCACACGGCCTACAGTACAGCCCTGGGTCAAAACAATATATTTATAAAATTATCACATTCAATTTCTTTAGTTTGAGAATTTCTTTGACACTTTGACATACCTTGATCTCCTCCTGACGCAATTTGAGCTTGAGGATGCCTGCTCAGAATATAAAATCAGATTTGCTTTGATGTTTACTACATGCGCAAACTGGAAATGTCTCGCAAATATTAATTATTTCCTTTGCTTTGAGACTATTGTAAAGCTTTAATATAAAGTTACTCAAAAAGTAACATTATATTAAAGTCTCGAGTGAGCTGCATCACTACACAAAATGTAGGCGATGGAAAAACCAATCGCTTACTTCCCAAGTGATGAATGACAAACTTCTCGTTATTTTGGTTCTGAATAGATACCTACAGCAGGACGGTATGCACCTTCAGGTGAAACGAAAGCACGAGCACAAGTGGAATGCATCTCATTAACGATGGCTCCATTCCATTCGGTGTTCACTAGCCGAAGGGATCCTCGTGCTACGAATGCATGGACGGAATGGAGCCGTCCCTAATTATCGCGATTGGGTACACCTGTGGGTACACCTGTGCGATGCCAGCTGTGACACGTGACAACGTGTACCAGCGCCTCGCCGCGCGTTAGCATTGATAACTTATGCGTTGAGCTAAGGGTTAGCACGTCTTCCTCGGCCCCTTTTAAGCACAACAGGTACGAGCCTCCCGTGTCTCTGGCGCTGAAGGCACCGTCATACCGGGCTTCACTCGCAACTTTAACCGGCCGGAAACGAATGAACTCGAAGGAAGGAGTGTCGAATGGCCACGTTTCAAACTATTGCGTACTCGGTTCCTTTGTTACGTTACGGGGAGGGGGGTCGTGTCTGCTGCTCGGCTGAGGAGACGTTTCGCAGCGGAGGTGTTGTTGCTCGGGGAGCTGCTGTCGGTGTCACACAGGTGGAAGGAAGGTGGAGCAGCACTTTGTGTAGTTGGTGGTGCTCTTAAAAAGAAGACCTTCGAGACGCTGGACAACGCGCGCTGACGAGCTCGCGAGGGGCTGTGGGTGAAACGCGACCGTTGCGAATGTCAAACGTGCGTAACGGAAGATTGACGGAGGCGCAACATCACTATAAACATCTGTACCGGCACCGTATGGGATTACCGAACAGTCCAGATGGTAAATCGCGTACTCTCACAGCATCCCGGGGAGGACCGGGAGTCAGTCAATCTTGTGGCATGCTTTAATTCATGCTGTCTGCCATTGAGATGATGATGATAGCGTTATTCTTCCCTAAACAAGCCTTACCTTTTTCAGTCTTCCAGTCCTTTTTCTTTTTGCTCATGCTGCCGGAATCGTTTGACTTCGAATGGTTGTTTTTTGACTGTAGCAAACCCAGACTCACAGTGAATAGTGCTCCGGGGGTAAAAACTGAAACGTAAAGTGGAACAGCCTCTGGACGGTTGTCTCACCTGTGAAGCTGTCAAATGTCTATGGACCTCAGTCGGCTCAACCTACAGTGATTGCGCCGTAAATTATGTGTACGAAATCCGGCTCTGTGATTGGTCGCAGAGAAACCCGGAAGAGGTGGCGCGATTGGTGCTGCGGACGAGTCAATCCGATAAGGTCCACGCACTGCGGAGGCAAGGTAGGTTGTTTCCGGTGGTTTATCCAACTGCCGGGTGAAGTGCTTGGCTGGTAACGCCGGGGCACTCGGATCCAGTGGCAATAAGTGAGTCATTGCAAGTAAATTTAGCGAGGTCTCAGTCCTGTGTGTGTGTGTAATATAATTATATATATATATATATATATATATATATATATAGAATTATATTATTATTATTTTTTTTTTAATAGGTTTGTTATACCACAGCAATTTTTGCAGTGGATTCAGTTAACACGTTATCCCAATTCAGACAAAACTGCATGTACAATATAGAATTAGACTATGTTTTGTAGACTAATATTTCAATAACATTTTCATAACTGAATCACATTAATCTCACCATTTCCCTACTAGTTCTGTAGTTCAACATTGTTTAGAAACTAATTGAACAATGGGAATAGTAGGATGATATGTTTATGACGGGATGATTGTTCCTCAGGTGTATGAGACTTTAATAGTGGATTGTAATACCTGTGTAAGTTTTTGGATCAAGGCCGATCTACTTTGGGTCGTCGTGGTGCAGGGGTAGAGAGGGTGCGCCAGGCACGGCAAGGTTGGCGGTTTGAGTCCCGGCTGCTCCATGTCAAAGTGTCCCTGAGCAAGACACCTAATCCCTAATTGCTCCCCGGGCAAAACTGTAAAAAGTCATGGGTTAAAAATGCAATGTAAGTTGCTTTGGATAAAAGCGTCAGCTAAATGACATGTAATGTAGTGTCTTATCTATTACCATCTGACTTAAATAACTGTTTCAAAACCCTAAAAAGGACACAGATGAATAGTAACCTACCCTTGTTTGTGGCAGAGGACAGTATCTCACATGATAAACCAGATCGGACCAGTGAGTCCGGCTGCCAAAAATGGGAGGCGGGTTCCAGAGACCACAGTCTGTCATCTGTGTGTTCACTCTGCTCTGGTCCAGACCCATCTGCTCCTGAAACTGCTGACATTATCTGAGAATGGAAAATATCTATCATCCAAGCAGGACCCGTTTTTATTTGTTTTAAGGAAGGATCATTTCAGTGAAATACATCCAGTTTTCATGACAGCAGTTTTGTTTTTCATAGATAAATGTATATATAAATGTAACACCAATAGTAACTTGACCGTATAAGTGGATGTTCCTGTTCCATTTGGGTTCACAATACCCAAAACTAATACTACAAAGTGGAAAGGATTTACATTTGCCAATTCTGTCACCAGATGTTTTAAATTAGTGCAATTAAAGATCTTTATCTCATTAAGCTGCTGCCCTTTTTAGGAAATTAAGTCAAAGTAATCAGCTGCCACATCTAGCCCATGAATTTATAATTGGACTTTGTAATATCTTATTTACTTTAAAGTCTTAATTCCTCTAATATGGATTATAAAAATATAAAATACTTAATATCGGTTTGATGTAAAACAACATCGGGACATTTATAGAAGTTCTCCAGCCACGGCACTTGGAATAGCAGATAAAAGTGCTTGTACCTTTTTTTTTTTTCTTTTTTTTTTTTTTTTTTGAATATTGAACAAGAGATTTGAATGAAGGGCCTATTGTTTTCCATCTGTACTCGTGTTATGACTCTTGTGTGTTGGAGGTGATTCGACGGCGGGGGATTAAGGAGGCACCTGTGGAGGCTGGTGGATAACAGTAGGGGTGAGAAGTCCTTTTTGTTAACCGGTTTTCTCTTGTGTTACAGTTAGGGACTTAGGTAATAAGTTGTACTTTCCTTTGTTTTGTTGAGGGGGAAAATAGATAAGTAAGATTTTGGTAAATGTTGTTTTGGGCCAGGCTCAGACCAACACTTAATGTACCCAGTAAAAAAAGGCACCTTGTGGAACCTCTCATCCCACAACTCTGTAAAGACCACGTTTTTTAGGATTGTGATCATTGGTGCCCTTCTGTTTACATTGTGGACCAAGCGAGCAACGTTGGGGAGGAGAGCTGCAAACCCCCTTGACCAACTGATGGCTGCCTTTGATATGAGAGTTCAGAGCGAGGCGAAAGCTGAAGGAATGCACAGGATTAGTGGATTCCCTTGTCACGTTCACCGCAAAGTCCGGCTGCGAGCACATCGCAGAGAACCCGCGCATCACCCAGACTGGGCCGTCCCTGCCCTACCACTGCTACTGAGGAAAGGGGATCCAGATGAACAGACTCTCTCCCTCCTGCCCTCCCTCTCCTCCTCTCGCTCTCTCTCCATCACCACACAGACGGGATTAGAAGATGAAGGTTGGCATGCAAAGAAAGTGGGCCACCGTGCGTCTGGAGAAGGGTCTGTGCCCATGATGGCGCAGCTACTGGCTCAGGGCAATGGCTGCGTGGTTCAAGCGATGTCCGGAGACTTGAGGACCCTCTCCATCGACAGACGTAATTCCCAACTCCTCGGTTTGCGTACGGTGCCTCCAGTCTTGGCCAACCGGCCTCGAGGCTGGAGTCAGTCTGGGCGCATTCTATCCGAGGCACCGGTGGTGTCTGTATTGAGCATGTTCACTGAGGTGCTAAGCAACAGTGTGGAGGCAGCGGCGACCCTCTGAGCTTCTCGCAGCATTGAAGTGCTGGTGCTCATCAACAAGGACGGCAGAGCGCGAGGTGCTGCAGCTCATCCCGGCCGGCAAAGAGCTGCGGAAGCCTCCTGAAGACCGCAGCACAGCGCCGCTGCTCGACAGGGGGGGCAAAAAACTGACATAATTCCACTAAATGACATGACTCATGACTCTGAGGCTTACTGGACCAGAGGGAGAGGAGACCCACTAGATGAAACCAATGACACTTTACTGCAAATGTGTATATGGGAGCGGAAAGGGCTCTGATAGAGAAACTGATATCGGTTGTAGGTTTTTCAGTTGCTTTTGGTAGTGGGGAAACCTTGAACTCCTGCCAAATAATTCCTGGGAATGAGATCAATCCCTGCGATTGGCAGCCCATCTGACACCAGGGCGGAGAAGAGTGAACCTGCATGAAGGGGAATGTGTAAAATATTCCCCACATTGCATGAAGGGGAAGCCAACCACTAGATGTCAATGTTGTCCAACATTGTAAGCAGCAGTACACACAAAGGGGTGCTGTTAACAGTGAGTCAGAGTTGCCCTTAGATATAAAATATGAACTGAGGTATGTGGGGATTGTTGTTATTACGCAATCTTAGGCTCTAAATCATATAATACTCACATAAAGGACAGAGTTTAAAACGCATTCATCAGAGAGCTTCTCACTCTGCTGCCTTTGTAAAATATGCTAACAGTAAAGTATTTGCCCCTGACCTTCATTTTTGAAGTGGGCAGACATGAAATCTGAACTTATTTCTGTTAACGCAAACTGCTTGTTAAACTTTTATGCTCTTCCAAAATACACTCAACACTAGTTTGTATTGTATTCTCTGATAAGTATACTTCCTTGTTTTTTGTGTAATGCACAACACAACATACAACTTCTTTAAGGACTAGTTGCTTGTATAGGGAAGAATCATAACCCCCAAAGGATATATTTGTGTAAAACTGCGTAGGCAATGGTTATCGCCATGGTTACAGCACAAGGAGATAAAACTGGTGGCTGCACCTACAATTCAATGCCAAGAACGTTGCATCTTATAATCTCTTGTTGGCTTGTATCGCACTTCTAATTGCAGCAAAGTAATTACTGCAAGCGACATAATTATCTACAGAGAGATGCTCCAAATCTACCCCATAACGTAAAATGAGCTCAGGGGCTAAAGAAATCATAATTATGGCAATTCTTGTTCATACGTGTTCTTATGTCAATACCCGTACGTCCTTTGATGGGTGTTTTTTGCGACTGTCTGGTTTGGGTGGTATCATTTGAGTCTATCCCAGTCAATCCCTTTAGTGATAAAGCACATGATTTGTTTAGTGCAGTCATGGCTTAAGCCTATTGCCGCGGACTAAATACTGTACATCTACTTTGTTGGGGGCTCCATATGTTCAATTGCTCCTTTTGGCTTTCAGCGGAGGCCTTTAAAGGATTTACTGTTTTTCATATCTTGCCAATGACCGTGAAAGACTAGAGCTTTCAGCTTCGGATAAGGATCCATGAAGAGCATAATAAAGCCTGTAGGGTCGGCAAAGGTGATATCTTGGGAAGGAAACAGTTTCTCAGCTAATTGCGCACACACTATACTTTGGAAAATATTTTTAATGTATAATCATTAGGAATGGAAATAGTTTTGCTGCTCTCCTGCACTTGCAGGGAACCTTTCCTGTGAGTGCCATCTTTGATGCAATGCCAACCAGGGACATGGAAACGCTAACTTTTTGGTGGCTTGTTTGGGTCCTTTTCAACAATCTCGGTTAAACAGTTATCTGCCCCTTTCATCCATTGTGTCCTGTCTTGTATTATGCTCATCTGGTCCGCAGATGTGAGAAGCAGCTCGCTATTGCGACACCAAGACCTTTTGAGGACTACCTCGCCAGAGACTAGCTCATTCGTGTCGGGTCTACCATGAATCTGAAGCCCACCACATCACGTCCATGCCGCTTTTTTTTGTGTATCTAAACGAGCGCCGTATCTACTCTAGTACTCAAGGACAATAGTTGACATAAATGACTAAATATTATTTTCACATGTAATTCTTGCAATTGTCCTGTCCCATTTAATAGGATTTATTTTTGTATTTATGAACCCAATTTTTATCATTACTCATGGCAGCTCCTTAAATGTGTAAAAACTACTCCGACCAGGTATGAACTATTTCTTTCTAAAACTCCTTCTGGGTGCAGCTGCAGGCTGTGTAGGCTACTGCCCTGCATCTCAGAATTAATAATCCAGCAGCAAGCGCAGTGTGTCCTGAGATCTATTGTGATGCATCAATATAGCAGTCTACTGATCTACTTGGTTTAGTTTACATCCTCAGAACGGGTTCGGGGTTGGTTATTAAAAAACATCACACTGTGAGTATTCTTTAGCTGCAGGATTCCTGTGGCTTGTAGCTTTGGCAGAATGTGTTGCTGCAGCTCCCTCTGTTTATTTTACTGCATTTGATAAAGGCCCCATCCAGCATGTCTCTTCACACCAGAGCGTGCCTGCTTTCTGCCTGCTCAAAGCAGCAGGAATTCCTTCCTGATCGCTGGCTGAACCCAAGTTGAATAGACTTAGTGTGGATAGATGTTCAACATTTTCAGATGTTCACAGCACATATGCACTAAAGTGATCAAAACTGTTATGGCTTCTATGCATCAACGGGATAAGTATTCTCACACAATGTTGGGTTGTTCCTTTTGATCCCTGTACAATAATCTAACTTTGTTTTTTTTTATAAAACCCCCCCCAAAAAAACAGAAATGAAGAAATCTCTTTAACATCCTACTTTGGACAAATCAGGATATCATGTGTTCCCTCTGGCTGTGCACGTATTCACAGTAATGCATTACTTACCCAAGTAAGCCTTCATGTCTGCCAGTGGATGATGAAGCAGAATAATTTAAATAAAACTCCACAGGAAAAATGCTATTACAAAAGCTATATTGCTCAATGCAGATGTTGGATTCCTGACCTTTGTCTTTCTGCTTTGAAATCCAATCCCTTCAACTGCTATCTGCCCATCATAGTTGAAATCATTTTTCACATTTATCATTTTAACTTTAAAGTATGCCATGGGGACCATGAAAATATAATGAGCCATCTTTAAATATCAAGTTATATGAACTTAAAAACTAAAATGTAGATGCTTTTCCATGCATTTTTAAGGTTATGATTCGGGTCATAGCTAATGACAAAAAACCTGCGCGAGGCTCAGAAGTTTACACAGAGATTTCATGGCATGCAACCTCTCTGCCCCTTGTCTCCCCATTAATTGCTCCAAGGCACTCTTTCATCTCATCATGACTGGATCCAAAGAAAACAACATTGGGCTGCAAATTTTATTAAAGAATGGGCTTTTTTTCTCTCCACCCATTCAACTTCTGGTTGGATCAGCGCCCGTTTCAGATCATGAGATAAAAAAATATATATGATTACCTGAGGGAATAGCATAAGATGTCAGTAAAGGATCATTAATCAAGTGTGTTTTTGTGAATTAGACATAAAACAAGCCTCCTGACAGAGCAGTAATCTTAGCATATATGTCAATCAATATTAAGAACTTTATGTCTCATACCATCTTTTGTTCACTTCTTTTAGGAGGCCATAATAGGGGAAAGCTGAAAGAGGAAGGCGGAGAGTTTTTTTGACTGTATGAATGATTGGCAACTTTTCTAAAGTTTAAAAGTGAATTGTTCTCAAAAAGGCAGTGTACTTGTCTGTCTAAAACTATACAGAGTCCTCCTTAAGACTGAGCCGAGAACTGAATGCTTCGCTTCAGGGTTTACTCATCCGTGTCCTGACAGGCTCAGCACAGAATTCTCTAAATGGCCATTTCTTTGGCATCTCTTGAGCGCACAATGGTGTCTGATTAAAGGCTCCCATTGTCAAACCCGACACACAACTTTAAATGTATTCAAGAAGTAGAATTTTACTGAATAACGTTGGGGCAATGTCAGAGCCAGTAATAATTGAGTGCAATGTTGTGTTTAGAGAGAGTTTGTGTTTGCTGTGAGAGTCAGACCAACCAGTTATGTGTTATGAGTCAATCGTTGGTGCCACCAGGACGTTCTGATGGGAGACCAGTTTTCTTTACAAAAGCAAGTTTATATTTTGTTTGTTCCACTAAATAAGAATACAAACAAATATTCTCATCATTTTTCACTGGCATTCAGTCACACAGGAAAAATTTGAGTGGAGAGCATTGAGGGTCCATTTTGACATGCTGCGGCGGGAAAGAAACAAGTGCATTTTTTAATATTATTGATACCTTTATTGCAATTAGGCTCAGTCAAAGTGCTGCATTATGAATATTGGCACACTGGAATGGCCCAGAGGACACAAATGGTGCTTGGCTGTTAAGTAAATCAGCTGGACCTGTGCATATTCATTCCAGAGAAAATATCTGCTGTGAAAAAGGTCTATGGTGTGTTTAAAGAAAACCTGTGCGGCTCTCCCATACTTATATTACTCTTTTTTTTTGTAGTCCATGCTTAACTTGCAGCTCTGCAATTCAGTTCAATTAAATCGATGCACCTACTCTTGATTTCAGGCACAAGTGATGAGATAAATTATAATAAAATATTTTTTTTGGTAATCGTGATGAAACAATATTTATTTATTTTATTTATTTTCAAACACAGCCTTATCTGAGCAAATTATTACGTTTACAGACCTCAAATAAGTTAGTTACTGAAATATTTTGCTAATGGATAATCATATTGACCACGGTGGTATTATTTTATGTTTATGCATCTCAGCTGGGAAACAACATTTGCAACGACATTATTTTCTCCAACAGCAGAGCAAAATCCAAGTTTCTTTTGGTGCAGCTTCATCCACGTGTGTCTTTGTTTGGATTCAGCGCACTTCCTTAGCAACGTGTATCTGAACCAGGAAGTAGTTTAAGCTACAGCTAACTAGCTGCTGTTAGCGCAGAGGAGTGAAAGTCCTTGGCAGCAAAGTTTATCCGTTTTCCCCCCCGTAGTCCGTCCACCCCTGTGTTTTAAACCCGTGTCACATACAATCGTGGTAAGCAGGCAGTTTCGTTGCTGGTAGAAAAGGAGCGAAACTCGTAAGTGGATGTTGTTTTGTTGATGTGTTAGCGAGCTGTTAGCTAATAAGCTAACGGAAACGCAGTGCAGTCAGCTGGACTTGGGTTAGATTAACTTGCTTTTCTAAACGTAGCGTCGGTGACACTCATCCCTGATTAGACAGACACGTGATACCAATAACAAATAATGCCTGTTTAATAACGTGGACCCTAAACTTAAATGTAACTCATAACGATGCATGTACAGCAGGAGCTGTTTGGAAAGTTGACAACTTTAACTGAACGACATGTAGGTGATTTTGGGTGATCGCTTTTTTTTAAATGTGCGAGCTTTGATTTGAAGGCTTGAGGATCTGCACTGTGAATTGCACGTTTATGAGATTATGTAGATGACGTCAGCTGTACGGTTTCTTGGATGTTACTCCCACACTGTTTGTGAGTTGTGTAGACGATCGATTAGCTTGCGAATGACGTTTTTTTTTAATGCGCTGTAAATCTTGAGAATGTTCGTGTTCAGTTTCATCAGCTTAAACTTGAGGTGTTGGTCTAAATGAAAATGCCCCAGGTGTGCCAGTGCCCCCGTAGTATCGGTGGTACATCCAGCATGCAGCTTCACACATGCAGCAACATGACCACGTAAAATCACCATGTTTTTATTCCGCAGTGGTAACGTTTGGCTTTATTTTCCCTTTACAGGTGTATGAGGACATGGTTTATCTCACCACGGGCTAAATGGGCCACGATAGGCCTGTGAAGTTATGCAGGGTTTATGGAAAGTCTAATGAATGCTGCTGAAGAGCAGCAGCCCCCCTCCGCCCTGGCCGACCCCTGGTCCTTAAAACCAGAATCAAGCAAGAATCAAAAGCCCAAAGGTGTTGGTGGATTCGTCTTAGTGCATGCAGGTAAGCGCATAAGAGGGAGTACAATTCAGAGTTGAACGGGAAGAAATATGGTGTGGAGCCGCACCTCATAATACATAATCACATGCCGTCATGCATCAAAACATTAACGTCTCCCAGTGTAGTTTCTGCTCAGGGAAAGACGAGCAACCCTTTTGTGAATGGTGAAATGTGCTATCGTTTGCTTTCAGGAGCAGGATACCATTCTGAATCTAAGGCCAAGGAATACAAGCATGTGTGCAAAAGAGCCTGCCAGCGAGTACGTTTATTTTAATTACTATAGTAAACTAACCTGCATGCATGCGTGTGCAAACAAGCAAGTCTCGATGGAATGTCTTTAAATGGGTTACTGGAGTTTAGAAAATGTAACGTGTAGTGAATCTGTTAAATAGTTTAGGAATCATCAATCAAAGGAGCATTTAAGGGCTTTTAAAAAGAATGGTGAACATGTTGGCAAGAAATTCTGCTGAAGCCCGTGCATTGATCAGAAATATTAGTTTACTTTATGTGATTTAAATGTAGTATGTGTGCTTTCATCCATACAATGAGATCAACCTTTTTGGTCAGTCAATAGTTAACTACTTTGACTCCATAAATCTTGGTTGGTTGTGATGGCACATTATTATCTTGAGCATTCCATATTATTCCTGTGGCCTTCTAATCTGTGTTTTGGCAGTAACACTCAAACACTTTAATGTTCTTGTTTCGAGGCAACACAGTTTTTATTTGGTGTTAAGATCAGTTTTCCTTTGGAATGGAAGCCTTTGTTTTTTGGCATTCTAAAGCGTTTTCTCACAAGGAGTGTTTTTTTTTTTTTAATTCAATCCATTTATCCGTCTGTAAGACTGAAATACAACCTCGCGCTGCTGCCTTCACCCGTGATTTACAATAGGAATGGTGTTGGATGGGCGGCGAGCTGGATCCAGTGCTTTGCAGTCAGCTCAAACGTTTTACTTGAAAAGTGGTCTTTTGCTTTTATGCTTTCTGTGTCCCTCTTCCACATACACACATTCAGAAGACAGACTTAATTCAATGCATGTTTTTCACTTATTTCCTCTAGTTTTATCTCCAAGTTTGCACTTTTCATGCGGCTTAAAAGGAGTTTTTCTTTTAAATAACGTTTGTTAGTCGGCAGGATATGGAGGTATTCCTGTAAATGCTCTGCAGTGTAATTATGTAAGGGCTAGAAAACCAAATTAAAGTATAAAGGCTTTGATAAACAATGTGTGTGGACTGGAAAGCTTTTACACTTTCAACAAGGTGTCTCCGTGTCTTTTCCAGGCTGTGGACCGACTCAAAGCCGGGGCACTCGCAGTGGAAGCAGTCGCTGCAGCACTCGTTGAACTGGAAGTTGGTTGATTAATTAGTTGATTATTAATTCAGAATTACCTACCCCTATACGTAATTTGGAGGAAATCTACCCAAATGAAATGGTTCATTAGAAACATAACTCTCGGCTCAACATGTTTTTTAAATTCTTCCTCAGGACTCTCCTTTTACAAACGCCGGCATGGGCTCCAACCTGAATTTGTCAGGGGAAATTGAATGTGATGCGAGTATCATGGATGGGAAGTCGCTGCATTTTGGGGCCGTTGGGGCGATTAGCGGTGAGTTATTCCACATGCATTGATATTCATTTGTTATTTCCGTGTGCTCGTAGTACTGAAGTTCAGTTACCTGGAAGTAATGTCAGTAAGCAAAGCCTCTATCGGTGGCTAATTTACTTTCTACCGTCTCTGAATCTCTAGCAGGTTTAAAACTTAGCTTAGAGAACAAGAAGCTTATTTTCCCACATCTGTATCATTTAACAATTAGCCATATAATATATTGGTTCACTTAGATATAAAAATGTATACTTACAACCAAATGTTTTTCACAAGGTTTGCATAGGCTAAAGGACCAATGAGTGTATTAACTGCGCAATGCTCAATTAATACATTCCATGTGAAAATGAACAAAAACATTAACAATACAGATAAAATCAACACAGATGTGAGTATTTCTGCGTGTGTTTATCCCCAAAGTATCTAGATTTGTTCACATTGCCTTTAAAATGACATAGAATAAGCTGCTAGCTCTGTGATGATTCTGACTTTTCCTGCAGGTATTAAGAACCCTGTCTTAGTCGCAAACCGTCTACTGAGTGAAGCGCAGAAAGGGAAACTATCAGCTGGCAGAATACCACCGTGGTGATTATAATGGTAGTTTCTTACTGTGGTATTAAACTGACTCCTGCCACCTGTTAATGTGTGTTCCTCTGTTAGCTTTTTAGTGGGGCGGGGAGCTCACGATTGGGCTGTGGGCCATGGGATACCACCGTGCCCTTCAGAGAAAATGGCCACCAGTGAGTTTTGCCACATAGATTTAGAAATACCAGCTTCACCGACAAAAAAAATAATATATATATATATATATATATATATATATATATATATATTGGGTTTTTTTGGAGCTGTAAAACAAAAAAATTACTTTGGCGGCGGTGCATTCATATAAGTGAAGGCATTAGATTGAGATTCATTTTTCCCACACAGAGTTTAGTTTATCGGCGTACAAGAGGAATAAGCGAAAGATGGAGCTGGCTGAAAAAATGGAAACAGGACATAAACAGGCCAAGAAAAGACGACAATCAAGTGAAAATGTGAGTCCTTTGTTATCGGTTGAAGTAAGAAATTGTTTTTTATGGCATCAAATGTATTTCTCAGCGCCATTACTTCAGGCGAAATGGGCCCACCCCTTCCCGCTAATTCTATAAAAGTGTTATGCTGCAAAGATGCTGTTTATTCTCCAGCCCACGGGTGCTACTAGGCGATGGGATGTTACCGTGTGAACAGAGGCGTCATCTGCACTAAACATAATATTCTTTTTTAGATGTTGCCACATAGCATCCTTCCACCACATGTTTTGGCCTGTCAAATGAAATCTGAAACTCCTTAATTAGGAAAGGCAAAATCTTTCGTGGACAGAAAAATGTAAAATCCAGAGTAAATATCACCATATAAACTGAAATACTCTTGGTGGAGTGGTGGAGATGCCAAATGTAGCTATGTCATGTTGACTATACAGTGCTATTTTGCATAAAAAATCCCAAGGAAACATTCAAAACACAAATTAATAAAAAAACAAAACACAGCACCAGACGTTTTCAAATAAACTCGTTGGCAATACATGAGTATCGGAACAGATATATAACAGAAAAAATGTTGAAGGAAATTCTAGTTTCTTATGAAGTTAATTCTAATACCATAAGTAACTTCAGACTAAAGACGGGGGGGGGGGAAGCACGGCCTTCCATCCATCCTTTTCCCGTTGCGAGGTCGGTCCCGGCAGCAAGAGGCCCAGCTGGTCGTCCCAGACTTCCCTCTCACTCGCACCATTTTCCAGCTCATTCTGGGGGATCCCGAGGGGTTCCCAGGCAAGCTGGGGGAGAATCCCTCCTGCGTGTTCTGAGTCTTCCCCGATACCAGTCGGGCGTGCCCGAAAAACCTTTAGTGGGAAGCATCTCCGCTAGAAGCCCCGAACCACCTCGGCGGACTCCTTTCGACACAAAGGAGTAGCGCCTCAGCTGCAAGTTCCCTCCGGATGTCCGAGCTCCTTAACCCGAGGCTGAGCCCGGCCACCCTATGGAGGGGACTCATTTGGGCCGCTTGTATCCGCGACCTCGTTCTTTCGGTCACGGCCCGTTAGTGAGGGGTGTAACGTAGACCGCCCGGGAAATTGGGAGCTTTGTCTTGCGGCTCAGCTCTTCTCTCCACCAAGCAGTAAAACAGCACAGCCATGTGGTTTCCCCTAAAATCACACAATCCCGACTCAACTCAATCACTCGCTCGCTTGATTAATAGGCTGCTTTTAGTAATGAAATGAGCTTGGTCTTTAGCCCACTCCACGGATTCCTAATCAGCAGTTATGCATGCAGATTTCATCTAGAATATTGTACTTTACACCAAAAGGGACTTTAAAGGTTCTCCACAGCTGAGTCATCAAGATAAATTCTGCCAGTTATGATCCCACATTCTCACCGGGTCATTAAAGGAAATACGATCACCAGGTTGCCCAGAATGTTCCCGGGGAGGCGATAAAAGTGTTGATAAGAGGTGGCGCAAAGTTCCAGGGCCATTCAGCACAATCAGAGGGAGCCCTGATGATGAGCGGAGTTGAAAGTAGACGGATTCTGGCTTGAAGTTACAAGCCGGGGCAGCAGCTCAGAGGAGGACGGGAGAGTTTATCTTGGTTCGGGTGCTAATTGCGTTAAATGGAGTAAAACGCTTGTTATTGTTTATTGAGTTCAGCTACATAAATCCTTAATATTAATGGTTTATCCGCAAAAAGAGACCAGCAAGATGGAGAGTTGTTGACTTTGGCAACTGATGTTTGAGAAAATGAAAGATATGTGTCAAATGGCCGGGGAGACTAATGAGAGCTTAAATCTTGAGTGGCCCAACTGTTCTTTTGGGTCTGTTATTTTTACACAAAACTGATTAGCCATATTAAAGATGAATATATGGCCGTTTTCTGCTGTCAAACAACCACTTATTTCAGCATACATGATACTCTCATTGGTTCACATGCATACTTCGAGGTTATTTTACAGGAATTTGCCATCAACCATGTCTTTAGTCTTTTAAGTGACATCTAAAGTCATTTAACGGGAAATAACCTGTTTTTTGTTTTAAAAATGGCTATTGAGATTTGTGGGATCAAGGAAAAAAAGTCATGACCGTAACAAGCCTGGTTTTCATTTTCATACACTGTTCTTTTTATGCCTCTGTCTTTTTGCCAAGCAACAAACTCTTTCCACTCCTTTTCTTCCTGGGTAATCCAGACACCTGTCTCATGGTGGTGTGTAGTTACAGCTTTGTTTAGGACCAGCTAAAGCATTTCAATATTATTCCAAGGATGCCCTTAGGTTTTACAGTCATTACTTACTAACGCTGATAAGGAAAGACAAAAGGGTCTTTGAAGCATTTGAAAATATTTGGCTCTGGTTGTTTTCAGCCTCAATAGCCTGGAGACTTTGCTGATTTACGAGATCATGAGACGGTTGAGAAATGGCAATGCCTTTTACTCTTTCACTGCCGGATTGAATGACTCTCTTGATTTTCTGATGGGAGTGGAGCTTTGGTGATGTAGCATAATGTCTTTTTTTGCACATTTAAAATGTAGGACTGTGTGACATCACGGTTCACAAAGTCACTTCAAAAGCAAAGTGCAATCAATGCGGGGAAATAGCGGATCGAAATCACAGCAGAACACTTTTTCATGAAATATGATGAGCAAGGCAGAGTGATTCCTAAATTCATGCTTAACCTTTTTTGTTTTTCAAAATGCCCTTTTATCAAAGATGATGAATCCGCTCCAGAATGGTTGGATTTCTTGTTTTTCCGTTTGCCCAAAATGACATTTGGAAATGTATGTATTTGGGGGGGTTTACTTCTGCTCGTGTGACTCCCCTCCTTACTGTGACGTAGGAAAACGGTTCAGGGTGCCTGGACACCGTGGGGGCCATTGTGGTGGATCTGGAAGGGAACGTAGCTGCGGCGGTGTCCAGCGGAGGACTGGCCATGAAACATGCCGGCAGGGTCGGCCAGGTAGTGACGCCCTTTTTCTGTTGACCTCCTGTGTATGTTTGAGACCCACGTAACAACTTGTACAACCAATACATCCAATATCATTTGCCAGGCTGAATCTTGCCTTTTATTTAAGACAGTTTGTAAAAGAGCCACGTCGCTATCTCAATGTGCTGCTTTTCATATGGAAGCATGTGTTTTGTCTCCAATTGGAACGATGTGCCGCTGGAAAAAACGAAACAGCATTCATCTATGTTCGGTTTTCTGCTGGAATTGATTTCCACCAAGCCAAGCTTGGATGACGTTCAGTCCGTCCAGTCGGCTCCCCCGCCCGACCTCCGTACGCGTGTCTCCGTCCTCAGAACCAGCTGTGTCTGTCGGCAGCAGCTCCCGAGCAGCTGAGAGGACCGAACTGTCCGCACGAGGCCGACTGACAGCAGAAATTTACCAGACCGAAATAGTTTCTAAGTGGCGTACTTATGGGGAAATCAATGTGTGTATTTGCCTGTGTGGCCAAAAATGAACTTAAATCAATTCTGGTTCTGTAAGTCTAAACGCAGCAATACAGTCTGAATGGATGAGGCGACCGATACCGTAGAATTTGCTGATCCTCGTGACTCGGGACCCATTTCTAATGATTTGATTATTAGGCCAAAAGTTCTACTTCATTATTTTTTTCGGCTGGAAGTCTTTAACTTTGGCACAGCTACAGGAAGGTATGTGTCCGCAGGAGGTGCTCAGCAGGGAATAAGCAAACAACCTAACAATGGGCACAGAACAGAATGAATGAATCAGTGGGATTTACTGCCTCAAACTATTAACACTGTCACTGTGAACAAACCTGAGGCTCAAAGCAACGCACTCTGGAGCACATTGTTGCAGTGTAGCTAATGTGGAAATGTGAATTAGGCTGAGATTACCTCCCCTCCCTGGAGTGTACTTTTTAAAGTATTGTATTTGGCAAAGCATGCCTCTCAAAGTGGGAAATGATGGATGTATTTTCTTAACGCCATCAGAGAAGTATTAAACTCTGCAACTCTAAAGTCCTGCTTTGCTCTCCTTTCTCAGGCTGCTCACTATGGATGCGGCTGCTGGGCAGAAAACGCTTGTAATATGAACCCTTACTCCACAGCAGTGAGCACCTCAGGTAAACCACAGCTCGCCCTCTACAGCTTACTCTGCAGTGGTGTGCACGCTACATCTCTTCCTGCCGTGAAGGTTCACCACAAACCCGCCGTTTGTTTTGGAAATGATACAAAATCGGAAACAGATTTTTTAAAATTTAATGCGAACCTCGTATTTAGGAGGCTCGGTGAGTCGAGCCTCAAGCGTCCCGATAATACTTTCCGATGACCTCCGACCATTCCTACCTATCAGTCACTTCCTCTGGTGATTGAGTCATCGCTCTCCGCTCTCGTCAGCTGCGTGCCAGGTGCATGGCGAGCTGCAAGGACATTTGACATGGGACACCTGCTGTAGATGTGATGGGGGGGGGGGCAGAAACGTGATACATAAGCAAACTCTGAGTGCCGTTAAACGAGTGGTATTATTATATGTGGCATTTTAAATTTGTGAGAAGTTTCCTATGGGAAGCCTATGTGGTCTTTTTTCATATTGTTTGCCAACAAGTCAGTATGTTCATATAAGAATTCTGCATATGTTCTAATGAGAACATCATTAACATCTATTATTTCTGAGGAAAAATAGCTTTTAATTACAGCATCAAATGCAAAAGGGATCAAGTAGTTCTGCTAGGAGGGTTTTATTGAGCTATATGTGAGCTATACGCATCCATTGTTTCCATCAATATGAGGAGCCTTACTAATTATATTCAAATCCAATTTTTTAAACTCCAGGTTGACTTTGAAAATTGGAATTAATTACATTAAATTACATGTCATTTAGCTGACGCTTTTATCCAAAGCAACTTACAATAAGTGCATTCAACTATAGGGTACAAATTCAGAAGAACAAGAAACAAGAAATTCTCAATTGACTTAAAGACGTAAATAAATGTATAATGATAAAAACTTTAAACTAAATCATTTAATGCTTTATGCAGATGTGACAGTTGATGTTTTTTCTGTATTCCGCTGCAGTAAATAGATTCTTTAAGAGGAAAAGACAGTTTGCAAAATGCTCCGGCTTCCATTCAATGAAAAAAAACAGTGTTTATAGATTCTATATAAATCTTTTTTTCCTCTCAAATTGCATTATATCTCATTCAATTTCGATCTGCACTAGCTATCACATATACATCACATATTGAAATATCTACGTGTATATTTTTTACTTAACGACTCTACCCTCTTGTTTCATTTTTAGACACACTTAATTTAAGAAAATAATGTTGTTTCCCCTGGCATGTACTGCTTGTCCTTCTCCCTCTCCTGCTTTCTCCCGTGTTCGCTGAGTCAGCTTCAGAGCGAGGAGTCAGAGGAGCACCGGGGTTGCAATTGTTTCCCGTCATGCAGAGGATTGAAAGCGGAGCTTCCCTAAACTGGCAATCTTTCAATTTGCTTTGGTCGTCAAGATTTGACGTTGGACAATCTGTTAAAACATTGTCAATCGTTTGGCAGAAATTTCTTCTAGTAATTCGAATGAATTCTAACAGTTTTGAGCTGAAACACTCAGCAGAGCAACAACAGAGTGGATCTACCATCTGCCAGATTCTTGAGAAGATATCTTTAAAAGAGCCATCTATAAAACAGTTTCCTTGTAATTCCCAGAGACAACCCGTCAGCAGCAGCAGCCTTGTGAATTTTGTGAAACAAAACGCTTCAGCCTTTACAAGGACGAAGAGATCCTTCCCTTGCAATGACGAAATGATCTTCTTGAACATATTTATGCAAACGTACACAACCACGTTTTAGTGTTTCCCCCGACCTGAGACTACGTGCCTCCTTTTGGCTGGAAGCGTCGTCTACGACGTGTGTAGACGTCCGCTACGTGGCTTCTGGGGAGCATTAAAGCCTTTTGATGTGGATCTGTAGCCTAATGCGTCTCAGCGCAGACGAGCTGATGCGATCAGACAGGCCCAAGCCCGAGCCGTGTGTACTTGGAGCACAGAGATAGCGGCATTTTGCGCCGCTAAAGCTTGTCTGAATATATTATGACCTGCAATTTGTGAGAATTCTAGTGTAACCGCCAAAAAGAGGGTTTACCCTGAGCCGAGGCCCAGAAGAAAAAGGGATGCCTCTATCCGGGGATTCTCTGGCAAACAAAAACAACAGATTCATGTGCACATCTACTGTATCATCTCTATTGGCTATGTGCTCTGCAGCTTTATCTATGATCACATAAGACGCACATATGTCGCATACATTTCTATAGTGTATCCAGTCATCTCGCAGCATGTGTTGCTATCCTCGTCACAGTCCGCTATTGATATAGTCATCAATAATCCAAGTAGATGAAGTGTAGAGGCTCGCTCTCTGCGTGTACTTCCACCTCATCCTGTCTGCCTATATTGTGGCTTTTTCCCTTTGAAGGGACTTAAAAAAAAAAAAAGCTTTCCTTATGTGTATGGAGAACATAATGTGTGTTCCAGTAGAACACCTGTTTTTAATTTCCTAACATGAAAGGCATTCCCATCAGAAGAAACACAAAAACAATCTTTTTTTCGTTCTAACTCGTGGAGCATGGTCCTCACCCTATATGCCCCCCCCCCCCCTCCACTCCCCCTCTTCTACTCTGTCTTGCAACATGTTGGACTTTTTTCTTTCATTAAATATGCATCGACTGCTTCCCCTTGCGTCCACTTCTCCGAGGCCTACGAGAGAACCGCTCACGCACTGTTTACTCTCACTGCTGTTGGCTGTCACGCACGCTGCTCTTCTTTTGACGCCCCCCCCCCCGTTGAGTCTCCGCTTTAGTGCGGGCATCTTGCTGCAGTTCTAGTACCGCTACCGCGGTTTAACGCTCTCACTAAGGAGGGGGAGCGCTTTACGGTAAACACAAGGCACAATACCCGGCAAATCTGACGTTCTGCTCGTTAAAAAGTCACTTCAGATTGCTGCAGGCATCTGGTCTCCACAGTTACCGACCTGCGTTCGGTTTTGTTTTAGTTACCTGATATTTTACTAGGCTTTCATTTGTGTTTACCGAAACAACGAGGCTGTATTCTTCCATCTTTATGGGGTTTTCACGGGAGCTTTTGCCAGATGTGTTTTGTTTCCACTTGGATTCCTTGTCTTTTTCCCCACTGAGTGCGGGCGACTTTCCATTTGAGTAGGATCATAAAGGAGCATGCATCATGCATTCCATATCGGTCTTTCCAAAGCCACACAAGGTATTGGTTTGGAGTTTAGTCCTCTTAAGTAGTAGGTAGTTAGTGTTAACATGGGTATAAAAAAAGCTCACCTGCTATGTTCGGACTTGGAAGTGGTAAAGCGTTACGTACAGGCTGACTATTATTTATTTTTTTATATCATGGTTTTTGGGAAATACCCCCCCCCCCCCACCCCCTCCCCGTATGGTCTTATATAGACCATCCCATAACTGAAGAGGCTCCGAAAGATCAGGGGGTGACTCCTGGCTCTGATTATTAGACTTTTATATTGAAGATTTATTTCTTTGGACTGTGAGAAAAGTGTGTCACAGCTTTCTTGGTTCAAATGAATGCAGCAGTCAGTTTAAATGAATAGGTATTTTAATGTTTTGCCTGTAAACACAAAATTGATGCATAATTCCGTAATGGTGATGCATCGCACAAGTATGCGTGCACAAACTGCGGTTAGGCCTTGAGCTGAGGGAGTTGCCGTTGAGCAAGGCAGCTGTACTTGTCGGTGCTGTCGCCTCTACCTGGAATAATAAAGATTGAAGTCATTGTGCTGCAGCGGACGCGCTGCTGCACAATGACTTCATTTCAACGGCTGAAAAGTGAGTCCTTAAAGATTGCAATATCTTCCTTTTTCATGTCATATTTTAGCCAGATGTTTTTTTGGAAAATATGGTCTTCCGAGCATTTCTTAATACCAAAGCATAATCAACTCCAAGCACAATCGGCAGATCAGCAGATCCTTGTACATAGCAGTCTCCTCAAAATCCCCTTTACGTGATTAATACCATACACGGCTAATGTTTTAAAGTCTGAATATATAATGCGGGTTGGATTCTTTGACGTATGCGGTGTGTGTGCTGCTTGGGCTACGACTCAACGTCATCTCGTCGGAGACCTTGTTTGAGTCAGATTGACTTCCAACAAGGAAACGATTAAAAGCAAGTAAATGATCCAGGTTTGTATGCGTGCATGTCTCTGTGATTGTCTCTCGTCAGGCTGCGGAGAGCATCTGATTCGCACCATGCTGGCCCGGGAATGCTCTGCTGCCGTGCAGTCTGAGGATGCCCACCAGGCCCTGCTGGAGGCCATGCAAAACAAGTTCATCAGTGAGTCACCCACACGTACCCTGAGCGCCGCTCCGCTCCAAACATGTGTTTGGAAACGTGTTTCAGTCAAGGAACACCAGTGTGCACGGGGAGAGTTGAGCTTACAAACAGATGTGGCGTAACAACTGAGAACTTTGGGAATAATAGACGGCTTTGAAATATGGGCCTTCAAATGTTTCGTGCATCAGAGATGACGGCCACAGATCATTTTGGAAAACACAATTGTTTTGTTTTTTTGCCATCGTCTCAGAAGTGGTCAATTTGAGAAAGTCTTGTTACGTGTGTTTGCTGCGCTTGTGAATGACCACTGGGACAGCTCAGGGAAGACGGGACAGAGGAAGAAGAAATCTCATTCTCATTTCGGCTTTGCCATGGTAACGCCATGACAATTGAGACGGGCTGGACGAAGGAGGTTTGATGTCTTCTTTGGAGATGCACATTAAATAAAGCAAAGCTCCATGAATCAATGATGACTGTCTGGTGTGGAGATCTCTTACTCCACCCCGATGATGCGTTTGCCGATTTCCGAAATAGAAAACCTGTAAAGACAACACATCAGTATTTTTAGAACTGTCCGTGTAATGCACTATTTCTCATTACACACAGTGTCCACTCGCATAAATAGTAAAACTAACTTGATTTTTTTTCTTTTTTTCTTATGCTTAAAAAACAATGAACGCACAATAATTGAACTGCTCTCATGTTAACAACATGCAAAGTGTTTTTATGGAATGTGTAAGAGAATTCATCAAAGAGCCTCTTTTAAAATGTTCAGCAAACATTAAGGTTTTGCAGTAATGCCATCCGAGCTTGAATCAAAGGTGTTTTATAGAGTGCTGGGAACATTACGACGTGGAGCCAATGCATTAAATTGGATTAAAGAAAGAATAGTGCCGACACCGCGATATTGCCCCTGTGTTTTTCATTTATTTACTTTCCTTGTTGCTGTGTTGAGACATTTCAAGATGTAATGTATTGGATTTTTTGTTTGTTCTTTGCTAAACTTTAGTTTCCCCTTCACTTATCAGTCAATCCAAGTTGTGTTTTGTATACATTGCATGTATTCCAGACAAGTCTTTTTTTGTTGTTGTTGTTATTCACAATTTTTAGTGAGCTGAAAGGTCTTTGAGTTATGTAGCAGTGTTGTTCTAAATGAAATATTGTGGTTCAGAAGTGTACAGTTTTGGCAGAATGACACTACCTGTCATTGACCTACTATGTGCTAAAACTGCAGAAGAAAATAAATATACCCGATAAACGCTTTCAGTTGTTTAACTTGGCCAGAAAGGCAAACAACATGAATGGAAGAATTTTCTTTGGATTCTCGTAGTTCATCTTAATTCAATTAACAGGGCTGCGTTTTGTTTAATCTTTTTTCCCCTCGGCTGTCTCATGTTTGGTGTTTTCTCTGTGTGTGCAGGCTCACCCTTTCTGGTCGGTGAAGACCGTGTTTTGGGTGGAGTAATTGTCTTGCGCTGCTGCAGATGTGTGGAAGCTCAGCCATCAAAACATATTCAGGGTATACTGGGTAAGACATGAATGCCTTCAAATGTGTGATCACGCTCAAACCTCCACGTCGCAGCTTATGGCAGGCAGAGATTTGACGGTTAATATTTAACAATCCGTCAAGAGATTGATGGGAGAATAGAGGGGAGGAGGGGGGGGGGGCAGGCATTGTGGCTTTCCTGGCGGGTGGTCTCTGTTTGAACCCGCACAATCAGGCTCTGGTTTCACACCATTCCCGATTCCAACAGAGACCTCCCACTGTGGAATCAACAGCTAATCTTCTTCAAGAGGAGGCCTTCTGAATGCTGCTCACTTGGGCTGATTGTATTGGCGGATCTGGTTTCTTTACCTGGAGCTTCTGAGAAGGCTACTGCCTTCATTTCATTTGACTTAAGAGGTCTGCTCAAAGTTCAAGCAGTATGATTTACTTCTGGCTTTTAATGTTGCCCCTTTGTGGTAAATTCAAAAGGATGGATATCAGACCATCAGCCCCAATAAAACAACCGGACGGGGTCCACAGTTCACAAACAAAGTAGAGCAGATGTTTTCTCAGAGGAAGGAGGGAACGACATCTCTGATATAACGGGATAAATAATTAGTGGCGTGCTATCTATATCGTATCGTAGATATAGATAGCAAAGTGCCACTTACGCAGTGATGTGGGCCGTCTGATGCTGTTCACAGGCCGCAGCCCTTGTGCAGTGTGGACTGCAAAGGGCTCCGTGTTGGTTCAAGAGCATAAACAGTGTTTCAACCGCATCCTACCTTCCTCTGCAGTTATGTCACAAGCCATAAAATTGCATTATAACGACCATGCTCAGTGTGTACCGCAGTTTGACGCCCAGAGCCACCTGCCAAACTCGTTCCTCTGGCAGATGGAAAGATTTACTTGTACATGTAATTTGAATTCCAGCATATTTACTGTTCATCTGTTTTCTCCACACATCCTGGCTCTGTCCACCTGATCTTTTTATTCACATGATTACAGTTATATGTATGCATAGTTATGTTAATTAATTTTCTCCTGCTCATTCTGTAGTTAACCTTGTTTGCCTTTATGCTTTCCACAGTGGAGTTCCTATGGAGTCACACCACAGAGAGCATGTGCGTTGGCTACATGTCGGCCCAAGACAGCAAAGCAAAGGTGAGCTTTTCAGCCTGACAGAGTATTATAATTGTAAGTGTAAGGAGGTGAAATCTACTCGGAACATATATGGATAGAACCGTCTTTACCATGCAAACTTTGTTCAGAGAGACATAAAAAGTGCAGAGATTTTACACAATTAATATTCAAAATCCATGAATCCATCCTCCCCCACCCTCCCACCTTTTGAGGGTTTTACAGCCTCTGCAGACCCCCGGTCGCTGTGCTTGTACCCGGTATTATCTGCCCCAGTTTCACCTGTGCTCGCTGTCTTGTTTGGTATACGCAAACAGTCTGCTAGTGACTTTCAATACATGACAACATCGGGAATGCTTGAGGTTGGCTGTGTGATTCCTTCCCCACCCCCCCCCCCCCTCCGGCACCCTGGCTTTCTGAAAAAAACTCCTTAGTACCTAAATTGTCTTGACTTAAATGATTCAGCGTGGCCTTTTAAGCAACCGGGGGTTTAATGCTCTGGACTCCCGGCTCTAAATGGAGTCTCCGCTCAGACTGATTTGTTTGGCTAATGTATCTCTGTCACTCTGTATAAAGAGAGGGCACTGTTGTTCGTGCCTGGTTCAGATTTCAAAGTGTTTGCCCTGCGTGCCGTCTCCCCCCCCACCATTCGTCCTCCCCTCTGTCTCTTGGTCTCTTGCCACTCCCCCACTCCGTGGCTCTACCTGGTCCTAAAGTACAGAAATAAGCTTTACTGAAAGTCACGCAGCACCGGGGGATATCTGTATCCATCTGCGTAGTTGTCAGACGTCCTCTGCGTATCAGGCTGTGTGGTGGAATGTCAGCATGCAAGGCCCCCCCCCCCCTTTTGTAAAGAGGTGAGCAGAATGTATGCATGTATAGTTGGAAGGGCAGATATTATCGTTGACACATAGTAACTTACCACGTCAATTCCTCCACAATGTCCAGTGCAGTGGTTCCCACACTATGTGCTGTATATGTGAATAAATGATGTTAATAATCATAGATTGCAGGTGCATGGTATTCAGTTGTAACCTCCTGGGACTGGTGAAGCAGAAGTAATGTGATGACAGAGCGCGGAGTATTCTTTATAAAAGTTGTGTTCAGTGGCATGGAAATCAGCGGCAGTGGTTTTCTGGATCTCTCAAAATGGCATTCAATTCCAATTCGACAGGGCATCGGTAACACGGTGGTATTGGAGAGGGCGGCTGAGAACACAGCTGCTCCAGCAAAACCTCACACCGCACTACGAAGCTCCCATGTGCTCTCGTGGGCGCAAAAACCGGAGGAACTGGACGTTCCGTATCTCTTCACGCCTCCACACTGGATGCAAAACAAGGGCCCAGCGCTGCCCCCCCCCCCCCCACCTATCCTCCTCCGTTTAGAGAACTCCGTAGGAGAAGCATCTGTTTTCTCTTCAATCGGGGTGAAGTTCAAAAAGCCAGAGATGGGAACCTTAATGCGAGCAGGCTCCAGTCATAATGCCCGTTGTCTGTGAACTCTTTTAAAAGTTGCCTCTGTGACTCGGAGGCCCAGGAGGTGACGTCAAGGACTGCAAGTGTTCGAAGCACATTGGACGGATGAGCTCAAGTGGGAGCAGTGCAGATGAGGGTCAATGCTGCTGACCGAGCTGCAGCAAGACATACAGTACATAACCGTTCTTGCAATGAGGACTGTCTTCATTGGGTTGTTGTAAATGCTTGCTGAGGACAAATTAGTTAAGTATTGGTGTTCGCATTGTACTTTTAAGTTGATCAACCTAAATAATTTATTCCGTTTCCAGCACTTTTAGGAATACCAGTGCACTTGGTTTGTGGAGATTGCATGTAAGAGCAAAAGCCATCCACAGTCTCGGCTGCAATGTTACAGACATTCCTCCCATTCCTATTTGCATCCCACTGGGTGTTTCTAAGCCGCTAGCAGTCCATCTTCCACCGCTTTCCCCCCGGTAAGAACATGAAAGGGCGGCTCCACAGTAGCAGAGGGGAGTATTTAGGACAGAGGTCAGTCTGGATTTACATTGTGAGTCTGCTTCTCTTTTGCATTTTAAAGCCTGACATTCGTATGTATGTTTTCGTTGAGACAAGTTTCCCGAAGCCAGGAGGACTGTGAATCACTCCGCTGTTTGGAGCAAAGCGACTTGGACGTCAGAGCAGTTTTTCAGAGACGGCGCTAGCGGTTCCCCTGAGGTTTTTCTCGGTCTTCACTCAGCTGTTGTCTTTGGGGGCCGGTGAAGTCCAGTGTGTGTCCTAATCCTTTTGACAGGACACTGTAAAAGAGTTATGCGGCCCAAGCGCTGCGGAGGGAGAGCATCTGGTTTCATTCAGACACTCACCTGCGTTGGCGCTGGATAAACCCATCGGAACATCAAGCCGTCTTTTACAGAGCCACACAAAGCTACGTGGACAGACCAGTGGCGGCACTCCTAAAACTGTTGGACTGTTGTTTTATTGTTTGTCGTGATTGGACGGATGAAAGAGACTCGCAGGATCCGTAGCAGCACCACCACGGCTCAGTTCCCTCCTCCGCCATTACCACTATAAAGCTTTTCCTGCTCAAATTGGGCGTAGCGGGATAAATCAAAAGGCATGTGATTCAGGCCTCCTGGTTATTGTCTGCTTTGTATATTACATAACAAATGTTTTTTGTTATGGGCCTTTTTTTTACCATACATTGAGCATGGAGAATAAATAGCATAGGCCTACATTTGTTTTTTTTAATTCAATAGAAAAGTAGCAGAAACCACTAAAACAAAAGCAGCGACAACATCACAGAGCTAAACTGATCCTGGCTTCTCCTAAACACTTTCATAGCTCCACAGAATGTTGTTTGTCTGTGACAGATACAATTTCTTTGCTCCTCTTTCAACTCCACTTACTTTTCAACGCTGGTTCTGTAAATATTGCATTCCACCACAACAAATGCAAACGTTCTGATTTGACACATTTTGTAAGAAGAGACCACCATCAATGCAATCCTAATATCGGTTTGAAGTGATGTTCTATCACGGAGATCTGTCTTGGGCCACCATCACCCATTAAAACGGTCCAAAAAGTTTTGTTTCAATTCACCTTGGTACTACACCATGTTGCTTATCCTTCAGCGTCCTACTAATCCATATATAAGAGGAAAGCGATCGTAAACATTGGCCACGCTACCGTCCCCTCGGCTGGAACCTAGACGTCTGGATTAGCGACGCAGCGAGTGAAAGGCACGCAGCGCTCAGAGCGCAGGGGTGCCGTAATGACCCACTGGTTTGGTTTAGTAAGCCTTTTACTCTTCCTGCTCACACAGTCAAATGGTCCATTCTGTCAGATTGAAATCCAAACTACACTCCTAACACGCGCTGCAGGGTTGCGTGTCGGGGTGATGGTTGGAGCACGTTGGTGTCATTGTCAGACAGATCTGAAGTCATGCAGCTGTAAGCCAATTGCCCCCGGTGGTATATTTTCAGTTGTGTATTCAATTTGGTTTGAAATTAAAAGTTCATTTTCAACCCTTTCCCTCCGACAGGCCAACATCAAAAGCAAAAGACGGCACCGTTAGTTGATTATGTCTCAGCTATGGACCTTCAGTCAAAACAGTTTCAAAAGGGCCTTTCTTTAACCTCATCTTTCGAAGATGAAGGGGAGAGGAGGAACCCGGAAACGGGCCACTGGAGGCATAATAGCCCCTGAAAGTGTTGCCATGTGTGCATTGCCCTGTCTGGCTGCTGTCCCATTGTAGTGACAGTTGCCCTCGGGGAGCCAGGGGCCGCAGTCCAAGCCTCCACTGAAAGTGCTGTAGAGACTGGGGATGAGATGTCAGGCCCATTCAGTGTCCTGGTCAATAAGTGGATGGTCTCTTCCTCCCAAGGCGGGGGTCACCTTTCGTCCCCCAGTTGAAGTATCAACCCCTGTCTTCACAGCTGTGTTTGCCCTCTCTCTCCCTCCTCTAAGTTGCCTCCGTCTCTGCTCAAACACAAAATACTAGCGGCCTGTTTCCATTTGTCTCTCTGTGGATCATCTGCCGACTTTAGAGTTGCGTGCTCCCAATGTTTACTGCTTTCATCTGGATTAGTATTTCAATTATATTTGTGTCATTATTATCTCCACCTTAACTTAAATCAGGCATTTGGTTCTTTGGTACATGGGCACATGCACAACCACCCCTTGCTACATGTTGCTATTTTCACGACTAGTGTTCGCTCATAAAGGTTCCAGTAGTTCCAGCAGTTTCCCTTGCCCCACGTAGCCCTGCCTCTGTATGTATATCTCTCCTTGGATGATGGTGTCAGTGTGTGTGTGTGTGTGTGTTTGTGTCTCCCTTGGTCACCTGCAGACACACATATCCAGATTACCACCCGGCACGGTTGCTGGACAGTGCTTGGCCATCGAAGGAGGCGTGTGTCGACTGACGGGCACGGTGGAGTGAGCCGCGCTGCCCCTCCGCCTGGGTGTCTTCAGCGAGACTCGCTCGCAAAAACCCTTCCGCTCAGCCACAAACGCACCCCCGCCCCCCACGTTCCCACCACCTCTGGGAACCCCGAAGTAATAAACTGCTGTTCTAACAGGTGCCCAGGAAGGAGGTAGGGGTGTGAGGCTCTACTTTGTGCACTTACAGGACTTCCCTTTGCCACCGTCTGCCTCCAGCATGAACTCTATAACCCTCCCTTCCCCTCCCACCCCAGCCCTCCAGTGTCACCTTGATTAGACTTGATGCACCATTGCCTTGATGCACCAGTTTTTCTTTAATGATCCTTACATTTCTTACTCTTTTATATTCTATGTACGCTATGATTTAGGAAAACAGGGTTAATGTTTTTGTATCACTGAACACATGTGACTATCTTCAAGCATTAAGTGATTTCAGATGCAAGACCTTGTTTTGTACTTGTTAAGTACTTTACAAGTGTAAAAAGATGTCCGATTGCACTTTGTGAAATGCCTGCTACTTAAGATAATTATTAACGACTGATGCATTTATAGCTGTGAGAGTTGACCAGTAAGAATAAACAGCAATTTACAACGTTAACATTCACAGATTAACTTCCATGTGCTTTTTACACGCATATCATTATTAATCCTCCAGCATACTCTATAATGTAGCTCAACATGTATCTTAGCTCATGAAGCTATATATTGCTTTCACTGATTGGAAATGTTGAAATATAGCTATTGCATGTGCAACATCCACAGTAAGTCGCTTTGTGTTCTGAGTGGTGTTGAGTTGATCAAGAAGCTGGAAGTGGTGCAGATACATTCGGGCTCAGGTAGCAGCCTTTGACCTCACCGTCAAACGTGACTGTTAATCATCATTTAAAAATCACAATTTATATTTGTATAGCCACAATAACAGATAAGGACTAATTCATGTTTCAAGCTAATGAACTGGTGCTGTTGAGAATCGTACTTGAAAGGACTAAGGGTCAAAACTTGGGATAATCAGTTCCTCTGGTTTTGCTGTTTCACCCACTTACTGCAAAATTTCCTGTTTCTACAAAACCATTATAGAGCTTGTTTATTCTTCACTTGCAACTAAGAATAAATGGTAAGCTATGGAAATGAGAATATGTACATTGTTAAATACAGTGCAAAGTAAATAAAATCTATGTTGCTACATTCCTGTGTCTGTCATTAGTCTTTTAAACCCTGACATGAGACGAACGCTTCACCCTGTGCCTATTCCAGAAACACACAGCCTAAATATGATGGAAAGCAACTGTGGACTACCAAAAGTGTATAGTCAGGGATGAATGAGATGCTGGAGAAGAAAATAATTCCGCACAAGAACGTGTGAGTTCGCCAAAACATTTAAGATGAAATATTGAAGTATGTGTTCTGCCAGGAACCTCTGACTATTTGTTCTCTGCATCACTCATGTGAAAACCCACATAAAGCTTGAATTCAGAACACTGTTTTTTGTGGGGGGGGGGGGGGTTTCAATATCAATCACGTTTTCAAAATTGCTCCACTGTCAAAGATGCTTTTCTCCTGAGGTTGTATCACGAAGCCTCTTATCAGAGAGGGTCTGTCATGTCGCATCGATTCTGACGGCCTCTGGCGCAGTAGCTCGTCCTGCTGTTGGCTCTGGACCGTGGCCACTGTAAGTGTCTGAGAGGAATGTGCTATAGAGATGTTCAGGAAGATAAATATGTGCACCGTTTGAAGAGACGGATGCCTCCCTGTCAGTGCACCGTGCCTGGTTGTGGGGTAGGACGACATTTTGATGGCATCCAGCCGATTTGCCTCTCCGGTGTAAGATGTCACAGTCCGTTGACATCACTGACATGCAAAATGTATTTGATGGGTCAGGAGGAGCAGCAGAAGGTTGGTTGGGGAGGAGCTATGCATGTTTGTTTGTTTGTTTTTTGTTCCACAACCTCCTGGCTGCGGGTTTGATGTTGAGGTTCCGTCTGAAAAACAGGAGATGTTACCTTGCCCCTCACCCACCCTCACACCATTCTCCATTAGCCTGATTGCTTGTTATTACGGAGCGCCCTCTTTTCATCAGGGATAATCTGTGTTGCCGGGATACCCTCTGGCCTACTCGGCAGAGAACCTTCCCCTTCAAACATCATCCCTCTCTGTCCTGGATCCCCTTAGCTTTGAAAACGGATCCTGGGTCTTTAAAAAGGACGAGGTCCTGAGCCATTCAAGGTGTATCCAATGCCTCGTGCTCAGCAAGGCTCTTAAATGCAAAACAGACGGTGGAGCAAATAAAGATCAAAGGCAGCAGCCCCGCTCGCCCCGGCCCGCTGTCCTCACATGCCAGGCGGTGCTGTCACAGTGAATCATGGCCACGCAGCTTCCATGCTCATGCTGCCCCTCCACCCACCACCAAAGGGCCACACCAATCCCCTCGACACGTTACAGCCCCCCTGTCTAGCAACAACAGACACACAGGGTTAAAAACCACACAGTGACCAGTGGCTGTCTATCCCAGACCGAGCCAGAAAAGACCCTGATATCTCCCACCTTCATGCACATCAGGATCCTGCCTTCTGCCTGGGAGATGCACTCCTGCTGGGACGGGAACATATAAAATATGGGCAGGAACTACATTTGGTTCCATAGAAATAGTGACTTAATATAATAACCCTTTATTGCAGAGCAGATTTATTCTTGTCCAACAGCTTTGTGGGTATGATGTGTGGCTTAATCAGCCGGCTCGTGTCATTTCAGCTTTTGTTTCAACTGGCACAGAAACCATGAGCCAAAGGCCGGTACCAATCAAGCCACTACGCCCATTCAACAAAACGATATTCTCTGCTTGTTAATTTGTCCAAGTGGAGTAGCATCTTGTGCTTTGTCATTGTTGTGGCGTAGACGGTGTGAGCGCAGATCCCTGCAGCATCTCAGCGATCCTGGCGGCGGGGGTTAAGTAATGCGCTCTGCCCTCTCAGATGCTCCAGCTAGTTGAGCTGTTTGTTCAGCTGTGCACCGAGGCCCATGTTAGTTTCCCCCCCACACCACCCATTCCTCCCCTTGACTTGCTGTGTGAGCCTATGGCAGGCAGAGGGCCAGCAGCCCCACCCCTGTTTTGCCGGGAGGACATTGTGGGGGGTGCGGGACAGATAGAGCTGGTATATGAGAATCGTCCCAGTCCAGGTCAGCTATTCCAGATTAGAGCACCAAAAAATAAACTTTTAATTAGGCTTGCCGCCCAGTTGGGGCCCTGTGGTGTTGCACTGTTGCACTTCCTGCATTGTGCTACACCACCCTAAAAAGTTGCAATGCAAGAAAGGATGAAGGATGGAGGATAAAAATGTCTCTGCCACATCTGCACCACACCGCAAAACAAAGGAGGGGCCTGATTGCCACCACGCACCGCGGTTATGTACCTGCAGACACCCTCCAGAAGTGGGACAACAAACCACCTGGACTGGTTTTAATGTGAAATATGTCTACAGAAACAGCTGAGCTTTCGCTTTGTTTATTACAACATGAACCCGTCCAGGTTTCCATTGCTTTCTTATTTCCACAGTTAGCTCTCGTTTGGAGAGCTACTATAAAATCCCGGAGCCCGCCCTGTCAAACTGTCTAAAGCAGCATAAGTGCATTGGACATCATTTTCTTCTCATAACAAAAATAGAGGCAAAATACCAACAATCATATCATGGCGATTCTTAATGAGCCCTTTGAGATCCTTGACAATATACCACTAATATGGTGCTTTGCATCCTTTGAAACATGCCGGAGTGGAGTGCTGGAAATAGCAACACAACGGCGAGGCCTCTCTGACGCCCCACAGCCGACGCAAGTTTCCTCAGCATTCTCTGCTCTGCAGTTGGTCCGCCGTCTCGTACATTTTCACACCAATCATGCTGTAAATCTGCACTGCTACCAACGACTTGGCAGATTCATCACAGCGCAAGTTGTGCATGAGTTCGCAGGGAAAGAGGAGAAGAAAGGAGAGATGAAAAGTGAGGAGGGTATGAGAGTAATTGCCTGCCCGACACGTGGAGCCTGTCTGGGGAAGAGATACTCGGGGTGCTGCTGGAGGTATGTTATCAATTTCAGCTGGGCCATAATCTTTCAAAAATACAGACGAACGCCTCGCTTTCATCTCCGTTGCCCCGTCCAGCCGATGGTCCCCCAAAGATAACCAGTCATGCCGCTTACTGTAATCCTAGCCTCGCCCCCTGCTTTCACCGGAGAAGGACAGAAGAGTTAAAAAGAAAGCTTTACACCGCGGGAGTCTGACAGTACGGAGGGAGCAGTTTATCTACATTCTAAAAAAATGCATCCGTGTGATGGAAAAGCGAACGCCAGGGTGGGTTGTTGACAAAAGCCCGTGTTTGGGAGAAATGTGTCAAAGGACGCGCGAGTAGGAATTTTGTATGAATAGTGGAGAGACGGGGCGTTTGCAAGCAGCGCCTCGGGGGTGTGGAACGTGCTGGGGCCTGCTGCCTTATACAGACAAGCCCCGCACACGGCCACAACTGCAGGAATGAGGGCACCATGAATGGGTTTCTCTGTGTGACAATGACTGCAGCACTCAGCGGAGAGGGAATGGTCAGAGGTCCTTGCTGCGGACAGGCAGCGTTTGGTGTGTGTGTGTGTGTGTGTGTACAGAGAAATTACCCAGGAATGTGAGGATGCATGCCAAAGACAAAGAATCCGAGTCGCATTGAAGGGAACCTTACCCTCTCGCCCTCTGAATGAGCCCCGCCGGATAGAACTAATAGAAGACTTGTGCACGGGCTTAAACCTGGAGGAGTAAGTTCTTCCTGCAGATGAATTTCCGTCGACAGCAGGAGGGGGAAATCTAAGCATCTAATGGAAGATTGTTTATCTAGACATTCAAAGCCTTTTTGAACATTTTATTTACAGTCTTTCCATACAGTTGAATTCAGACACACTTTGCACTCGATTACAGTTTAATCCTAACTCGAGACAGGAATATGCACATTGAAGCCAGAGAGGGATCTCAAGTTAGCATTCAGCCAGAAACCAATCATAGGCACCCGACTCAGACACAGCTACAACTTAATAAATACTTTACAAAAAGAATGGAGGCTTTTTACAATAAAGATCTGCCAAAAAGACACAGCTGTAAATTGATGGTACAATAACAAAAATGTGCATGCTAAATAAATTCACAAACTAACATGAAAACCTGGATATTTAGAATGACAAAACGGGAGAAAATTAGATGAACCTCTTCTGTCTCCTCCACATTCCTGAAAGATCTCATTATTCTATTACCACAGGCCTCTCTCCGATTTACCAAAACATAAACAATCCATGGAGACGAACATGATCTAAACGAACATTCCTGGAATAACAATTTCCCTTTTTAAGAATACCAACTCGGTTCTCCCTTTGGTGACCAGATTAAAGTTATCAAAGGTGATGCAATTACTGGCAAACATTCTTAATAATTTCTTTAGAGGCTTATTTTATTCCCAAAAATCTTTTCTTCTCTTTTTATTCATTCTTAAACAGAGCAACGCTGTTTGGCTTGTTTTTGTGAGGTCAAGAAAAGTCCCTGTATGTAAGTGTCCTAACTCTATTCTTCTTGCTTCAAAAGAGCAGTAAGTATTGTTCCTCATTTCTTGTGTTACTTGATATAAAACAGATTTAAAAAAATATGTTTTTGAGGTTTAACTGAATCTTTAAGCAATGTGTATTGTTTTGTTTTTCTTTCCGCGCTGCGGCCGTCTAGAATTCCCTCGCTTCTTCGAACTGCTTGTAGTAGTCCTCGTCCTGGGGGTTGTCGGGACACTTCCGCCCGTTGTTTGGCGGCCTGGCCTGGTGGTAGCGGCTCCAGTCTCCTTTGCAGATGATCCAGGGCAGGACGTCCACCTTATAGTGCAGGTCGGCTGAGAACTCTGTGCTGATGAGGTTGGGCGTGCCGGCCCCTTTGCCGCGGGTGATGAGCTTCATGTTGTCGTTGTAGCAGCAGTGCTGCGCCGCCAGCGTGGTGGACTCCAGCGTCAGCATGGAGCGGATGCAGTAGCGGGCGGTCGGCTTGTAGATCTCCAGCTTCTCTTTCGGCCCGCTGGCGTCCTTCCAGCGGAAATCACGGCGCGTGATTTCGTCGCGCACGTCCGCCGTGCTGTACGCCACCTCGGTCGGGTAAGAGCAAGGGCAGCCGGGGAGGTCGTTCGCCACCTTGGTCATGTACTTCTTCAAGAAGTCGCTCTTGCAGTTCATCCATCGCTCGCAGCTGTCCGTGTCTGAAACAAATAGAGACGCCGTTGGATGCTGTGTGACAGGGTGTAATGCTCAGCGTGAGAGTGTGTTTCATTACGAACACACACACACACACAAAGAGACGCAGGGCAGCTGTACACTGTGGTGTTCCTGCCCCGCTGCACATTTTCATCTCTGCGCAGCCCGAGCGTGAGGAATGCCGAGTGTGTGCAGGAACGCTGCCGCCAGATGGGGGAACTGTTTTTGATGAGTGCATGAGTATCTGAGTCTGGATAGGAGGAGAGTAGAATCTTACCAACACCAAAGAGCTCCGTGGCATTGAATCCATCTGTTCCGGCCAACAGGCTCACTTCAGTAGCTGCCGTCTTGAAGGCATCTTCAATACCTTCAGAAAGATGGATGCACAGTGGAAGGTGGGTCAGAGATGAAAGTCTCCTCGTGTAATTGTTCTCTCTCTGTTTTCCAGAATCAAGACCTTACCCGGGCAGTTAGGCATATCACAAGTTCTGGACTCGGTGGCTGTGCAGGCGTAACCGCACGACCTGGTTCTCTTCTGGTTGCCGTTTCCACAGGTGACGCTACACGCCGTCCAGTTACTCCAGTCACCGTCTCCGTCCATATAGTCTGGATCAGAGAGAAACAGGGTGAGAGAGATCCTCAGCTCTGATGCAGGCCACATGCTGAACTTAACTCAGGCCTGTTAGCATGCCTCACTAATAATAGGTGAGGGGGGGGGGGGGGGCATGAAAGGGGAAGTGGTGGAGCTCAAAGTTCTCTTTGACTTTGGCCCTCAAAGCAGATACCACGCAAGCTGGTCTACACACACACACACATACACACACACGCGCGCACACAGGGCATACGCTATGTTGCACATGGCATGGGGCACAGTACCTGAGTTCAGAAAGTGAAGTAAGGAAAGTGTTTTGCTAATTCCAACGAAGTTATAGGGATCTGCAAATAGAAATTCTCTCAGCTGCCTGAGTATCTCTGGCACATTGGCACTGGACACCATGCAGCTGCTCTATCTGGGGTTCAATGGTTGGAAATAGGAAGTGATATTGTAAGAAATCCTCTTTATAGTGGAGCCGATTCACTGTGATGTGCACTCATTTCTACCACCACCATTGGTAGCGCATGGTAGCATACACACACACACACACACACGCACACACACACACACACACACGCACACACACGCACACACACACGCACACACACACGCACACACACACACACGCGCCCACATCTTGAGAGCAGTAATTCATCAGTGAGGAGAGTTAATGTGGGCATGTTGGGATGGAAGTATGTCTGGCCGGGATCCAAACCTTCCTATAGCCACGCCCCCCCCACCATCTGCCCCTCATTATTACATTTTGTACGAGTACAGGCCGGATAGCGAGCTCTGCTCCCTCCCCCCTTCCATGGCTCACTCCGGCCGTAGAGCGCGTGGCAGCTCAGACAAAACTCATGATTACCTGCCATTGGCCCACAAATGACACAAGTGACTGTTCCACCAGTGACTTGTGATGAGTGACCCTCACTGCAGGTCCGTAGCTCTGATTAAGAAGTTTAAAACCGGGATAGAAATGATGCCGATAAATGAGCGCTGTGATAAGCCAGAAAAAAAAACTAATAATATGAAAACCACCTCCCTAACCGCCGTGGTGCAAGTGGATGAAATGACATATTCCACGTCATACAGCATTCCTGTTCCACCACGTCGGTTAAGGCATGCTACAACACGGGCCTGACGCACGCTGTATGACGGGGAGTATACATTCTTCCACGGCAGATCCATCAGTGGGGTTACTTTTGTGTTGTGTTGTGGGGACGGAGTGGCCCAATCACTGCAGCGGAGGCGTTAAAACTGTCACCGAGCAGGCCCCGCCAAACAGAGGAATCCTTCTCATTAAAAAAAAAAAAAAAAAGTGTTAAATGGTTCAATCAGGGGCTCCCAAAGGGTCACCTGGGATGACTGCCCTTATTATGGTGACAGCTTGATCCAGTAAGTCTACAAATTACAAATCAGTCCGTGGCCATCCGTGGAAACCCTGGAGACCCAAATCAGAGAATTCTGCCACGTGCGTTGTGCATCATTTCCTTGCAAATACGTATATCCCTCCCGTCTTCCTCACCATATTCAGTTTGAGCCTTGCCTCCTCCCCCCGTGCCTCCCCTCCTGTCCCAGTCTGCCGACGGCCTGAGGAAGTTGCTGTCCTCCCCGTTGCTCCCGTAGGTGCGATCGTTCTCCTCGGTCTGATGAGCGGTGGAGGGGGAGGAAGGTGAAGAAGAGCGAGGCCACCAGTTTCTCCAGTTAGGAGACGCCCAGTTGGGTTTGCTCTCCTTACGCAGGCCTTTCTCTGGCTCGTGGCCCTCCAGTCCATCCACCACTTCGATGGTCACCTGGATTCAACAACACAAATCTGTGTAAAGGCGATTTTCAAAACACTTGTTGGGACACAACGGGTCAATCGGGGGCCTTTGGGGGGGGGGGCTTTCTGATCACTCACACAAACAATATCCTCCCTCCCTCTTTCTCCTTTCTGTCCTCACACATGTGCCTCCCAGATGGGGGGGGTGGATGGGGGGACAGGGGGGCTGTAGAGTACCCCTGCCCCACAGTCACCCTCCCACCTCTTGGGCTCTCTGCACCTAAACACAAAGTTCAAAGGGCTATTCAGCCTCCTCTAGACCATGAAAGCCAGATGAATCCCAGGATCAAAGACCCCCCCCCCCCCCCTCCTCTCCCCCAGACTCACGCCCTTGCTCAATTGGTTGCTCAGCTCGCTTCCCACATCTTGAGATGTTAATACACTTTGTTCGTGCTCGGATTTAGCGGCGATGCTCTCAGATATGGAAAGACCCCCTTGGCTGGATTAGACAGGAGAATGATTTAAACATGACAGCGGTTGCTCGGCCATCTGCACCACTGAGGTACTTACGGCCGAGCGGCTCGCCACACATTTACATAAGCTGCCCTGTCCTCTCCTGCAGAGGGTTAGCAGTGAGGCCTCGCTGGTTAGCGTCTGCCTTTCAGCTGTCATTATGACGGACGCGAGACCTCAGTGTCCATCGTGAGCTTCACTACGAGCCAGAGCGTGGGGGAAAAGGACAGGGTGAGAGGGAAGGAGGGAGCGTGAAAAGAGGGAGGGTTGGGGGGGGTAAGAGTGCACCCAACTATTCTCGTTACCCCCGATTGCTCTTCCTGTCCTGTGTGGTTGAGTAGCCAAGTCTTACAAGAGAGTGAAAGCATCAAAGCACACTAGCAGGTGCGCAGACACACATGGTCACCTGTATATTGGGATTCTGTCCATTGATGTCGGCTTTGGAGAGGTCGGGGAAGTTGTGCAGGTCTAGGAGGAAAGCTCCTGGGCCGTCCCGGTGTACGCTGCTGCCTTGTGCCCAGGGGAGGGTGGCAGGCCGGCGGGCCAACCGGTGCTCCGGGCCTGATCGCCGGTCCTCAGGAGAACGTTGGACAGAGCTGCTTTTTGCATTTATATTGTTCTGCAGAAGAGAGAAAGAAACGTCAGATTTTATTCATTAAAGTCTGTGCACTGGCACCATATGATGGTAAATATTTGATTCCCTTTCGTGGGTGGGTTGAGACTGAGGGCCCTGTCACTTGGCATCCACAAAGTCTGCACTCCCAGCAACATTAGATTGATGTTGACAGAAGTTCATGAGGCCGTGACCTGTGTCATAAATCCTTTTGACAGTAGACTCTCGACTTCTTGGAGCCCAGAAAGTAGGAGCCACTGAAGCAGTGGGAAAAACACAACAGTGATTTCTGTGCATCCACCAAAATTTGATCCGCCTGGAGCACACATTCAGAGCCAATGTTACAGCAGGACTGTATTTCTCTCCCTTTTTAACAGATTACACTGCTGCTTCAATGTAGTTATGTGGACATTTTTAGCAAGTCCGGGTCCTGGCCAGGAGAAAAGCGTATGTAAGAGGTTTCCTGCTATGGGTCCCAAAAGGACAGTTGAGCACATATGTGCCCTGTCAGGTATGCACAGAAAGAATAATTACACCCCTATTGGAAAGGTAATCAGAAGTAGTCAGAAATCGAGCATTCGGGGGTGGCAGAAAATGAATTCAAAGAAAGCATACAATCAAATAGTTTGTTGTCTTCTTTCGCGTCCCATTTCTTCCTACATAGTGTTTTTGTGGCCGGGCTGAGGCCTGAGAATATGGCAGCAGTGCAGCACGGTTGCGGTGGCCAGTCACAGACGAGCTGTCAGCTCAGTTGCATTGAGGCGGGCGTAAAAGCCCCCAGTGGAGCTGTTTGTGTCAAGCCAAAGTGCACTCCAGACGCCGTAGATGCTACTGCACGGCAATGGGGGAAGGATTCAAAATGTACATGTCAACATGTGTAACTTGAATAGAAATCTGAGAGAGGAAATACTCCCGACTCCGGACTTCCATTTAGCATGTTTTTCACTAGACGGAGAGATGTTGAGATTCACACATTAAGTTGATGTGATGCATTTCAAAGGCTTAAAACACTTTAAGGATCACATCATCGCACATCACATGCAGACGTGTGAGCTGCAGCCATAATTACACATGATTACACTGTTGCCCATAAGTATCTGAAAGGATAAAAGATGGCTGTGCCTTTTGTCTGTAGCCAACAAGCAACAGTAAATTGTTTTCAAAATCATAAGAATTTTAGGAAAACACATTCCAATTAAAGCCGCACCACACAATTATGGCAGAGATCTGAATACAGAAAAAGGCATAGTTTGTGCGTCAACCCCTCTGTGGCCCTCTTTGGTTCTATCTATCTCAAGCACTCGGGCTCTGCGATGCCCCGGTGATAACCCGGGCTTTCTTGTTCCCAGCCTTCAGAAGTCACTTGGTGGCTGTAATTGAGCTCCACTGAGGGAGCAGGCCCAACGCAACGCTCACAGGTTCAATCACAATTAAGTACGTACACACATGTGTAAATAACGGAGACAGCTGTGTGTAATTTCCTCCCTCGTAGATAATATTTTTATGGTTATTAGTAACTGCAATTTTCCCATCGCACACTTCACAGCCACGGACGGTGAAGACGGACAAGGTCCTTCTTGTAACTGGGAGGTGTTTTCATTCACAACACCAATCGATCCAAAAGTCTCTGTGGCTGCTGATTAATTCACAGATAACTTTCTGTGAGTTATGATTTACTGCTTTCTGCATGAATTGGTCTATTGGAAGAAAGCAGATGCTTGAGCACAAATGTTTGAGGATACACAAACTGTTGGCTGCTACAAACCATCCAACCACCTTTATCCGGTCTAATCCTAATTCAATTTTGTGTTGTGTCACATTATGATAGATGACACGTGGCAGGCAGATGATCTAATCCTGAGGCAAACTTGGATTATTTAACGTCAAATTTAAATGCATTGTGATTAATGCGATGGTGTTTCACTCAGTAAGGGAGAGTAAGTCAGATTATGGGAAAATATTGGTAGTTTAGCACTAATGCAGTTCATGTTTTTGGAGGGATTATGTGGAAGATAGTTCAATAACAATGTTCTATATGGGAGAATTGCTGTTAAGAGTTTTTTAACTAAATCAATCTGCCCAGAAGTAACCCCTTGAAAATGCCCGTGTTCTCCATTGACGGCAGCATGCTTCACGGTCCCTCATCTGAGATCTGCCTCAACAAGGAATCTGCTTTAATTTGGAGATCAAAAGTGACACACCGGTCCTCGGTTCATCTGGGGCCTCCAAGGATGTCACCCCGCCCGCTCTCAAAAGCCATGAATGAACACTTGCACACACAAGCCACCCCCTCTCCCTCCTCACAGTATCTCTCGCCTTTTCCTGCTTCCCCCCCCTTTTCACTTTGTGAGGGCTGCTTAAAGGGGCATGACTCCATTTTCAATTGGGAGCAACTCAGGGGTCCTTTCCCCAGGGAGGCTGGCAGGAAATGAAGGCAGTGCAGATGCTTTTCAGCCACGGCACTTATGTAGGTGGAAGAGAACACTATCCTTCCCCTGTGACACATGCCTCATACTGGGCTCACATACGTGTTTGTTTACAGGATCAAACTCAGATGGTTGCGACTTGACGATAAAAGCCATAAATAAGCTCGAGGTTAGAAGACCATGTTGGTGGCGGACAAATGCTGTTCTTTAATTCATGTCACACTAATGTAGACCGCCACAGAGGTTGAGTCCGCTTTGTCGTGTCGGTGGTGATAATGTGACCTGGACCGAAGCCTTTTGGCGCTCCACCACAGGTGCACGGGTCCGCATCCTGTCGTTTGTGTTTCTGTGAATGGCATTTTAAATATGACACCACGGACAGACAATACACCCCCTGGGCCGTGACAAGCCCGGTTAAAAGATGACATCACCGTCTTCAGTGGCAGTCCAGTGAAGCATATCCGGAACATTCATGCGCAAAAAGAAAAGTAAAAGACATTCTTAGCGCTGCTCTCAACATGGAGCACGAGGGGCAATGTCGGCCTCTTTCATCACACGCCAGAATCTCAATGTAAAGTTGGACTCGTGACTAAAGGGATGTTTGGATTGGATTCGGTGACATACAGTATGTTTAGGATGTTTTGCTGCAATTTCCTCAGGAGAAAGTCTCTCCGGGACCTAATCCTGTTGTTCCATATTAACAATTTGCTCTGTGAAAAATATTCCATACATTCCTGTAATATTTCTTCACCTTAGCAAATTACCCTCACCATCCTCTGTTGAAGTGAAACGGATATCCATTTATTTCCCACAGGCCCTGATAAAGAATTTATGACAGGGCGCCCTTCCAGTGGGCATAAATACCCATTTATCACCCGGGCACGACGGAAGTATCAGTAGCATGCTAAATATACATCAAAAAGCAGCTGAAGGATGCTTAACATCCCCGACCTGTCTGAACCGTCCAGTCAAGATTTGAGATTCCACTGCCGTCTGCATACTTAATACTGACGTGAAAATGGCCAGTTATGCAGTTAAGCTTGGCTTAAACGGTTATCGTGGTTACAAATGTCTTACCTTGTGAAATTTTGCAACCCATAAAAGTGTCATTGACATCTGCATTTGACTATGGTTCTCGTTTAAATGAAACAAGTTAAGCTTGAGGCATGATCTGGAGCAGGGCGCGCTGAGGCCAGCAGTCAGCGTGATGCCGGACTCTCCTCCACCTTCAGGGGTTCAGCCTGACCCTCCGCCTCATCGTCTTGGGTGACAGTGATGAGCCTGTGATGACAGAGAAGTGCCCACAGCTACTATTTAACCCCCAATAGGGAGGTCCGTTTGGTGCTGGAGGAAGGGGGGGGGGGGGGGGGCGGTTGATCTCTGACCCTGCCCCATCTTCCATCCTTCTACTTCCTGTTATTCCCTGGGGACACCCAGGGGAGCCCAAATCCGGTGTGCATGTCAACAAGCCCCAAAGACTGGCAGGGCTCAGTTTACCCGGACCGTCGGGCCAAACGAGCATTTTTTTCAAACTCACCAACTTTGAAATCCCCCCCCCTTTTTTTTTGCCTCAAATGCATCCCGAAGCCTACTTGCTCACACCGCCCCTCCAAATCCCCCGACTCACCTCTGTAAGTGCCGCGTCCTGATCCAGGCTCAGGGTTTGGTTTCCCTGCGGCAGCGGACTGCCCCGCAGTACCGTGATGTGCAAGGTGAGCAGAACAAGTCCCAGGAGCAGCAACAGTTCCGCAGCCAGTCGCACCATCCTTTTGACGCGGCCGCCCTTGGGAGCCTGCGGTGCGCCTGGAGCTCCGATTCCGCCTCCTCCCGGTGCAGAGACTCCAATCTCCGGATCCGCCGGCGACGAGGAGCCGCAACACCACTTCGGAGCCACTTCGGGAATCAGCTTTGCGGAAAAATAAAATAATTGAAGGGAAATGGATCCGAGGTGGAGTGGTCCAATAATTTCGGGGGAGGAAAAAAGAAGGCTGAAATTGAGTTTGGATCTAGTAGGGGATGATTGCGCGTCCTAGATTAAGATTGGTGGTCTTGCTGTTTTAACATATAGTCTCATTTGGGGCCAAATTGGATGAAAGTAGTTGTGCTGAAACACTGCAGGGCTGATTCAGCGCGCAGCATTAACACTGCCCCCCGCCGACCCCCCTCTTGTTGCGCCCTCGTCAAATCTCCAAACTCAGGAAACTTTACGCCCAGTTACCCCGTGGTTTCCCCGGCACATTCTCAGACTCGCTTTTGCTTTTACTCCTTCTCAACGCGTTTCTTGTCGTGTCCACATTCTGCGCTCTCCGACGTCATTCGATGACACTACACCTCTGGAGAAATGCGCACAGGTAGTTCGAAGTGAATCTTCCCAGTTTAAGACGTCGCGATGGAGTTCTGTCCTCCTCAAAAACAGTATTCATCCATCTTGCTGCAGGTCGTGAGCCCGCCGAAATGAAAAACGGGCCACCGGGCGTGCGTCTCTAACGAGGTCTGGAGGAAACAAAGTCCAACCATATCCAACCTTTGACTTTCTAAAACACGCGCTGTTCTTGATCGGCGCTCTTGAGGTGGTTTTATACCATACGCCCCTAAAGAGGCGCCCTCCCCCTGGTTAACTCCTTCGTCCCTCCCCACCATTCCCCTTGACACGGTGTGTGGAAGTTCGTGTGTGAAACAGTGTATAATGATACGTTTCTCCCATAGCAATTGGCCGCTATAAGGCTCCTCTTTAAAAAAGCCAAATATCTCAATGCAAATCACAAAAAGTCTCACTTCAACAGTCTTCTAAAATCACTTCATTACACTGAGAAACGTTATTTTACAGGCACAATAGTGACTCCCCCCAAACGACTCCGAGTGTTCTTTGGGGTCTCCGGAGGCGCGTCGCGGCGCAGAGAGGAAGACACCCGGAGGCGCTTTGCAGGAGGTCAGGACATGTGCGCTGCGCCAGCCTGGTGTCGTCCTTTCATTAAGAAAACGCTCCAACACTTCACTTGCGCGAGACAAACGGCGCGTAATGTGATTAGCCCTCGTGCGACTTTTTATTGTCCGCTTCCGAGGACAGGTCGCTGTGTCAAATTATGCACCAAGCGGGGATGCTGCCGCTTTTGGCACGGGGGGGGGGCACTGCGCCGAGGTGCGGAGACGATCGTGCATCGGAAGTAGTTTGTCACCTTTTGAAATTGAAGCATTCCGTTTGGGCAAAAGTGGAAAAAACAATGTCGCTGACAATGACCGGATATTGTTGTTGTTGTTGTTGTGAATGACTTGTCAGTGTAGCATAATTGGGGCGTAAAAAGATATCTTGTTTTTTTTGGGCTGTGCGCAATTGTTGTTTTGCCCCAGCAGGATCATGACAGTAGAACATCAGCAGATCCGATGCATCGCCCCAATTAGACTACGGAATAAATAAATACATTCCTGCATTACACGGTATCATTTTTCAGGTCGTCAGCGTTTTAATGTGTTAAATTCAAAACAAGGAAAACCGGTCAAGGGTCCCCCCATATATGCATTTAAGTGTCACGAGCACAGTAATGAGCAGTTTGGTTCAGGTCCTGAACTTACCTCAGCAGGGATGGAACTCCAAATGTGCTCATCTGATGCCCATGTGGTGACAGAGTGGATCTGTTTTTCCCGTATTATTCCAAAGATTGCCTAAACAAGCAACAGGCAGCAGATAGCGATGGACTGACATTCACATTTCACTTAAACCCCTGTAGCCTACTCGAAATAATTATCTCACAGTATCTGACGAGATCAAATGTCTGGATTAGTCGTAAATGCATATGAAAAACACTTCATTATGCTCTCTGTTAACAAGTGGTTCCGTTGAGTACAGCTTTACTCTTCAGTTACAGTCCTTCTTTCTCCGGGCACAGGAAAGCTGTCTAAACCACGTAAATCTGCTCTTTGTCTGCTTCACTTCAAAAATCCCTCTCCAGAATAGAAAACTCTCTTGTCCAAATGGGAAACAGGGCAGGGAGAATGGCTGGCCTGCTTTGGACACAGTGGTGGACATCAAAGGCGTAGCAGAGGATCCCCCCTTCAGAATAGCAGCTACATGCCATTCCAATAAGTGCAGTGTATGTGGATCTGCAGTTCAAAAGAGGCAGGCAGGTCTCTGGGGCCTTGCCACCAGTAGTCAGGCTGCGCAGATGTTTTAAATGCCAGCCGAGACCATTTGCCACTTCTGCTAAAACGCAAAAGCCGTTGGGACGGACTGGGAGGGAAGTTTGTCTTCGTTCCTGCCAGTGGATGTGCGTCCTCATACCTCGCCGCTTGTCTTTAAAGGAGCTGCCTTTAGAGTAGGACGCCAGTTACAGGTAGAGTATAAACCTGCCTGTCAGTGGGATTGTTACATAATGAAGGGTCTGTACGGATAAAGACAGTTTTGTTCCTGCTAAAGACCATTTTCTCTTTACATAAATAGCAGGTTCACACACACAGCTAGCAGAAGTCAGATACACTCAATACTGACTAAAGCAAAAAGCAGTTTTAAAATAAAAAAAAAAACATATAGATCTTCTTTGAGCATAATTTTATTCTTAAACATAAAAGAGCATTATTCCTACAGTGGAGCACTCCATGTCTTAAATGCACAGGGCTCTGTGTGTGAATGAATTCTGAAGGTCTTGAGTTTCTCTTTACAGGCGTTTTCCCTGTTGTTACCCAACAGTGCATTCAAGAATGTTCACATTCAGACTAAAAGGTGAAAGTAAACACAAATTACTAACAGACATCCTGAGAGATCTCCCCTAGATCTTTACGCAACAGTGCATCGGTATTGTATGACATCACAGATATTAACAAGTGTTTTCTAGGGTCTCTGGCTATAGGAGCCAGATGTGGATGTTCACAACTAAATGAGCTTCAATGGTTTTCTCCTTTAGGGGAAAAGGAGTTTTTATTTTAATTCCCTTTTCAAAAAAAAATAAAAATAGAATTCTACAACCGCAGTTTTCCGCTTTTTTCCCCCTCCGTGGATTGCAAATCGCAATCCGAATTGCAAAATCTCATCTCAGTGTTGTTTATGCGAAGGGGGGGGGAAACAAAACAAACAAAAAAGAAACCCGGTACGGTCTCGAGAGCAAACAAGTGTCGACTAGACCCGGCCTGACACATTGTGAAAACACATTCATCTATAATCCTTCTTGTGTTAATCAAATGATTACCCCATACCACGAGAATTTAGAGTTTGGCGCTAATTGCTAGTTTAGGTTTCTTTTGGCCCAGGTGTTGCATACTCTGCATGCTTATCTTCACAACCGTTGCGTGGTCCGTGTGTGAAAGGGAACAGCGGGTCTTTAAAACATCATCAATTAAGCTGTTAGGACTCGGTGGATATGAGCAGTCTCGCCACAAAACAAGCCGTAGCACCTTTTTTAGTCTGTGCAGGGTTTCTCTGGATTCAACAGTAGTTGCGTAATTGCAGCGTGATCAAGAGAGAAGCTTTATAAAAACCGTTCACTACGGAGCGCAACAAAGGCACCTTCATCAACTTTGGCTTAATCTGTTCAGTCATGAGATGTTTAAATAATCATGTGTCAAGAAAAGACAGATCCAAAAGGAGCCTGTCATCTGGATGATGAATCAATCTTTGTATTTAGAAAAATACATTCAGGACATTTTTCATGTGCAGCATCGGCCGTTTACTGAAAGAAAAAATAGAAATCAGCAGATTCAACATGCCAGCTAGTCAGTCTTACACCGTGGGGTGAAAGGACTACTTCATACTTGGGAGGAAAATGGGATTCCTTCCATCAAATTTGAACACTGCGTACCATTCTCTAATAATAACAACCAGCATTTCTTTTACAAATGAAGGTGGATGCTACATCAGGAGAAGCAAAAAAGTTTTGAAAGTCTGAACATGAACATAAATTAATAGAATAACTGTAAAAAAAAAAAGCGAGAGTTCTTTGGTCTCAATATAAACAGATATACTACACCCGAGTTTGCGGCCCATTCAGCAACTTTTGATCAATAATTTCATGTGTACTCACAATACAATGCATTAAGACTAAGTGGATTTTAATAGCGCATATAGAGAGTCTCAGTTTCAAAACTGAGTATTCCGTTAAATTGCAATGTATTAGAAAAATGTAAAAAAACCAGCTGCGTAGCGTTTGGCCCTTCTTCTGCTGTGAGACATTGGTGTTAGTCTGCGTTGTGTGTTTATGGGTCTGCTGTGGCATGGACACTTAGGCTTCGTTTTGACACTGTCAAATGAAAGCGTCAAGGGTCATATAAGCTGCCCGAGTCAAAGTCTGTCTCATCACAGAGGTCAGGACAAGAAGAATATTTAAGTCGTGAGAACTTCAGACAGAGGTTGTCTCCCACCTCGTTCATGTGGCGCAGCACCTGAGGACAAAAAGGAACCGGCTCAGATTGTGTGCGCTGTATGTAATGTCGTGATGTCGGCAAGTGTGCGAGTGTACCTGGTTCAGCATGGCTCTGCTGTGCGATGCAGACAGACAGAAGCGAGCTCGGGCCTCTGTGATCGGAGTGGCTGGGAAGCCGACGACCACGACACCAATTTTCCTCTCCAGCATTTCTCGAGCAAAAGCCCTAAAATTGAAACGACATAATACAACTTGGGGCTTGAAGATGGTCAAGTGAATTCACTCAGATGATGTGTGTTTGTAGCGCTGCAGATACTAGTGCGGCACATCAATCTAACACCAGCACATTAAAGATCAATTACAGTATACTGTATGTGACAATGGCAATCCGAACAAATGGGGACCAATTAGATTTGATATTAGAGTAGCTGCAGAGACACCCCCTTCATCCGGTTGCTATAAAATACCTAAGAAATGCACTTTAGTGTTGTTACCAGAGGAAAGTGGGTGGCTGGTTGGAAAACTCATACCATCGGAATTATTAACTCACTCATGAAAATGGAGCAATGTAAAAAAAAAAAAAAAAGGAGCTGCTGATTAGGGCAGAACTTTCTGGTGGGATTGGCCTTTAGTAGTGACTGGCATTGAAAGACACTTCATCCCCAATTGACTGTACCGAAGGGGCTCGAAGAAACCCGTGTTGTAGCTAATCACCACCTGATGTTTCCTCTAAAGTGGCCACACTTTAGGCCAGTCTTCACAGACACGGTCTACACTGCGGATTGTGTATAAAAAGGCAGCCATCCGAACCACTTGAAGAAATTGATTGTGACGACGAGGGAGAGCAAAGTTGATACTTTGCATTTCCCGCATTTAGTCCGTGCTCAATGAACACTCGATAGCAGAGGTTTTTCTGTGAGAGTTGAAGTGTACTTACACCACTTTGCCGGGCATGTAGAGCAGGATTGGTACCACGGGTGAGTCATCATTGCCGTAGATGATGAAGCCCATCTCCTTTAACCTGGCCCTGAAGTATCTGGTGTTCTCTGCCAGTTGGCGGACCCGTCTAATGCCTACGGTTGAAAAACAAGCACATCACAAAATAAGCCAGAGTAAAACACACTCGCTGTTTTTTGGGGTTTTTTTTCAGTGCAGATTTCTCCCGTCTCCTGCAGGGAGGGACATCACTTGTAAGTTGTAGCTGCCACCTGTAGTGCCACCTCTCCCCGAGTCCTGCACCTCCATCTGGGCCGATTCAGCCTACACTATGAACTCGCCCGTGATTACAACTCAGCTGCGGCAGCAGATGGTTCAGTTTTGTCCGCCTGACGGCATGCCGTATGCACTCGCACGGTGCCAGAATGAGCTTTTGCTAAATTGGCTACGATGAATTTCGCACTAAATGAGTTACTGCCGCTGGAGCGCAGCAACGTCTGGAACGGAATGCAAATAATGCTTAAGTATCACCTGTATTTCAGATAAATGTATTAAGAGAAGAAATCAAGAGGCGGCCGGCCACGCTGGACCCCCCCCCCGTGTGTTCCCAAATGATGTGAATCGCTGGAGAGCCCGGTACTCACTGGATGAGTAAGTGTTTGGCACGGCTCAGCCTTGGAACACAACTTTGTTTCCTTCTGCTTACCTGGGAACAGATTGGCAGTTCTTTCGTGGGGGTGTAAGAGAGCACTTTAAATCCCCTTATCTCAGCAGAGAAAGAGAGGGGAAAAAAACATTTGCCAAAAAGCACGGGCCCCATTTTATAAATTGTTCCTCTCTGCTAGATAGAGGGCAAGGAGGTCAAAAACCTGCTGCCAGACTCTGAAATCCTTTGAGTGGGTGAGAATGTGCGGATGTAGCCGTCTGTCAGGGCTATTCCCCGTTCCAGTGCTCCAGTTGGCTTTAAAGTGCGAAATTCAACATCAACAAGGAAGATGGGGGGAGGGTGGGGTGGAGGGGGTGCAGGGAAGCACAGAGAAAAAGGTATGAAAACATATCAGGTATATAAAGTGCGTGTGACGTTTCTTGTCACGGTGGGCTTTTCATAGTGTTGTGATGGATGTTGGAGACGATGTTTTATAAGACTACAGTGTTTGCAGTGTTCTCTGCCCTCCAACAGACAGGACAAGACTCATTTTTTCCACGACAGGTATTTCGCTGAGCTGCGTCAGACGCAAAGCATGTCTGGTTCAGAGCCAGATGAGAAAGTTCTCTGCATGAAACTGCGATACGCCTCGACCGTGAGACACCAGGCCGTAGCCCGGGGAAGGATTAACCCATGCCGGCACCCTACGGCAGACACGTTGTGTATTTTTCTGTCTGCATTCGCACCAAATCAGGCGTTCCGGCAATTATCTCAGGGTCGCGCGGCGGCGCTTCCCCTGATGGCTCATTAAAATGAAGCGACTGCAGAACAATCAGCGGCTTTTTTCACTCATTGCAGGGTTGCACAGCTGTGGATTATCAGTTATGTAATTTGCCGCTGTCTCCAAATGTTTATTCTGTTATTCACACTTTTTGCCCCCCAATGTCCCCACCGCTGTCGGTTAAACGCACATTCAAATGAATGAGAGGGGGGGACGTTATTTAAAGGCAACAACTACCCTCTAAGTTTTGTACGTAGTTACTGCCACGTGTATTAGATCTAGTCCCACTACTTCCTACCAGAACTACTACAGTAACTCTGGCACTACTCAACTGGTCTGGTAGTGACTCTTCTGCCCCAATGCCTGATGCCGGTCAAGCAGTAACTTTTCAGAGGTACAGTGTTCCTCACAACACACATATGAAAATAATTTCCTCCACGTTAAGGTCACGTGTGCTCAGGGACTGCGTGCCCCCCCCCTCCTCTTTCTACCACTACAGACCCCCATAATTGCAAACACATTTTCTGACTGAGCAGCTGTTTGTCTTTCCCTGCAGGTCTGGAGTTTTTACTAAAGTTAACAACGATAACATCCTCTGCATTTGGTTTGCTGGGGTTTCCACTAAAATGATATTAAAAAAGGTGTAACACTTCATAATCATTCGTGTAAATAACATCAGGTTTGACAAACATGTGGCAATGAGACTAAAACCTGCGGTTGAGCAGAGATGAGCTCAAACACCCACCTTCTGTGCTGCCGTCGCTTCCCATGATACACTTCATGGCACGTATGATCTGCTCAGCGACGGGAGGGGACATGGCCGCCGCGTATACTGCGCTGTGAGAATGGCCGCGGAGGTAGTCCACCAGGTCCTGCGATGCGGGATACAGTGACACGCAGACAATCAGCAGAGATGCTAGTGTGTTCAGTATGTCATTTAAAAAAAAGAAAGAAAAACACACACACATATACAAAAGCAAAGTGTACGCGTGTTCGCTGACATTGACTCTCTCTGGTCTTCTATTAAACAGAAGGGTGGCCTCGCACTGTCATCAAACCCCCACGGGAGCGAACACACGTGTAGTCAACACCTGAGAACCCATTAAAATACCTCAAGTCATCGTCTCTGTCATTAAGGCGACTGCAGAGCAGCTCGAACGACTAAAATGAGCCAGAATGAGGAGTGCCAGGGTTATTTTCCCCTTAATGTCAGCAGGAGATTCACTCTGCAAGTGCTTGTCAAGAGAGGAGCAGAGCTCCAGGATCCCCATTGGATCCTGGGAGCACGTGCGTGTAAGCGGTCTGAGGTTGGGAGCGGGGCCCAGAGCCTGGACGGGGTGCTGCTCGGTGGCCAGTGGGTGCGGGGTGACGACACGTACCCGGAGATGCTGTCTGGCCACCATTTCCACTCTCAGCCATCTGTCCCCACACACGCACACACACCACACACAGAGGGGAAGGGATTTTTTTTGGGGGGGGCGATGCTCAAATGTAGGATAAGAACCTTTAAACAACCCAACATCTGTTTTCGTTTAGGCAGGGGATTTTGAGCGCTTTAGGGCCCTCGCAGGATTTTGCCCCGACCAAGATAAACCGGTTAAGGGAACATGTCCGAAATCCATCTCACGTCTGCGGCGTGGACTGACAGCTCAGAGTGTTTCCTCAGCCACAAGGTGGCCACATTACCGATGTGGCGATACACAATCCCACAATGTAGGAGTGGTGCCAGAACAGGGCACACGCTTCACCGGATGCATTTAATAACCTACACTCATTGCAACCTAAGTATTGAGTAAAGGCTTGATGAATAAAAGTTTCCTACGCGTACGGTTGTGGAGAATTAAAAAGGAGCTTTAAGTTATTTTTGGTACACTCATAAAATAGCTATAACATGACTGTTTTCCAGAACACATCTGCAGATGAGTTTTTTTGTCGGTCAACCCGGCAACAACAAATAAGTCAAATCTTAAAGCTTTTTCGCTCTTTTTTTCCTGCCCGTTTTCTTTCAGGACTTTACTACAGCCAGCTGTCAAACCAGGCAGAGCGCTCCTACTTCAAACATCATCACGCTTGTTAAAAGTCGTCCTGTTAAATCTAGAGCGCAGTTCCGACGCCCGCCACAAGAAGGGGCTGGCCCCCTGCCAGCCTTTACCTTCTTATTACGGGAGAGCAGGGCCTAGCCAGCATCAGGCGAGAGAATACCTAATTCAAGCAGCATGGCCGTTTCCTCTGTTGCTTTCTAATCAACTGCCATGTTGATTAGTATGTACTAAAGTGTACCTTTTAATGGAGTGAAAAAATAATTAAAAAAGGCCCGCAGCCACAGCCTGGGGAACATTTGTTGGACACGTGAGCGCTGCGAGCGAGGCAGCGTGTGATGGAGTGTCTATGGTTGGAATCAGACCTGGGTGAAAACCTTTCATGGTGGGTTTTCCCTGCTTTGGAGCCATTTGGGTTAATGTTGTTAATATCTACAGGCAATGGTTGACAGGTTGTTTAAACAATGTCAGGAAAGTATCAATTCAGCGCTGTTATTTTGATTGTATAAGAATGGCATTTTCTGTTTCTATGCGATTTAACCCACCTACACGCTGTATATTTTAAAATGTATCCTGACCTTTTTTGGGTCCACAAGGACCCTTTTTGCACAGCAACTCCACTAGTTTCTGCCTGTGAGGCAGCAGTGAGGATGAATATATAACTATCTTACCTTGTTTTTGTCTCGCATTTTATTGTACACGTATGTTTTTGCATTTTCTTATGTTTTCAATGAAAACATGACAATGCTTGAGTAGGAACACCTTTAGAATAAATGTGTGAGGGGAAATTCTGTGACCATCTTTTTGTAAAACGATTAAAAAGACAAAAATATGAGAAAATGTACCTAATGTTGAGAAGGCACTCTCAACAAACTATAATGATATTGAGTATAAAAGGAAAGTTGAATCAAAAAAAGCTAAAGCAGAAGATCTAACACATTAGTTACCTTCTTGCCTGCGATATAGCCTCCAGCAGCCCCAAAGCTCTTGGTGAAGGTGCCCATCATCACATCCACATCAGATGGGTTCACATTGAACAGCTCAGTCACTCCCCTCCCCGACGGCCCCACTGCCCCGATGCTGTGGGCCTCGTCCAGGTACAGATAGGCTTTGTACTTCTTCTTCAGAGCGATGATCTCAGGAAGTCGCACCACTGAGCCCTCCATGCTAATCACACGAGAATCACACAAGCAAAGCCTAGTTACAAAAGGAAAAACGTGCGCACACTTCATCAATTATAAACCCCACTCTTGAAAGGGATTTGGTTTAAAAGGGCAAGAATCTGACCCCGGCCTCACTTATTGCACGGCGCAGCATCTGTACATCTGTAAATCCATATTACAGAATTTGAGAATCTTCCAAGAATCTGTCTGCTGGACTCTTTCACTTTACCGCCACCTCTCTCCCATCTCGTCCTCCTCTCTGCTGCAAGCCTTTTAAGGCTGCAAACAGACAGCATGGCTGAGAGTATGGCTGAAGAAAACAGAGCAATCCCAGACCTGCTATCTTAGCTTTGCCTGAGATGACACAAGACAGTGTTTCACCAGGGTCATAGTGGACATCAAAGGCAGGGCCGGGATACAGCAAAGCATGCCTACTCTCTATCTGAGCCTTTTGATGTAACAGGGAGGCGATATATGGAGCATTAGTTCTTGCCGTGCTTTACCAAAAGGTTTCTTCAATTCCTGACATTAGACGTCATTGCCTGATAAAGCCGCTCCAATTACACACAATTAAGTTGTCTGTCAAATTAGCAGGACTGTTTAAACTAATAGTTATGTGGATAGCAGCTGATGGCCCTGTTGCAGACCTTGCTCTTCATTTGATTAGGAATGTCATAAAACCATTACATAAACATCAGTTGACTGACTTTGTAGATTTGCAAAATGCTTAAAGCACGATGAACATGTTGTGTTTTAGTTCAAAAGGGATGAAATGAGGCTATAAAGAGGGAAGAAAGGAAAAAAAAAGATGGCAGTTGGAGCTGGGGGTGTAGCCAAGTCAATCTCTGTGGCTCCATTTGGCCTTGATTTGGAGCTAATGAGCAGATGGAGAGGGTCACTAAGACTCAGGATAGCTCACTGCCGGGAGAGACACGGGATACCTTTCTCTTCCCTCCAGTAATGACACGGTGCCCAACCAGACAACGCAAACAGTCTATTATTCAACGGCAGGGAAGCAGTTGAGAAAAAGAGACCATTATAGGCACTGCTAAACACTGGTTGAAAGTTAAAGCTCTCTTTGGGCCTGGCTGTGCACAGCTCTGCTAGTGACCACATGGAAGCCTATACTTACAAAGAATACAGCTGCACTTACCGATGACATGCGTCCGTGAGAGTGACTAGTCTAGTGTGTGCGAGTGTGGTTGTGTGTTCTTTAACCTGTAGATGCCTTCCACCATGATGAGGATCTTCTTCCAGGGCCTGTGGGTCCGTGGCTGCCCTGAGCAAACTGCCTCTTTCAGCATTTTCTCCAGACTGTGCATGTCTAAAAACAAACAGACACATGCAGACATTGAAATTCAACTCATTATGTGACACCCCATTCCACCGAACACTTGGTCTGTAACTGGTCCAGTGTACAGCGTGTGGACTGTTGCACAAATCAGATCAAGGGACCAACTAAACTAAAATCATGTCAAATAGAAATTGCCTCAGGGCCGGGCCGTTTACACAGTACATATTGCATTACTTTATCTGCCAGTAACACCTTTCACACACTACACACCGCAAACACATCTGCATTCTGGTGCAAATGAACACCTGCTTTGTCTGCGTCAGGCCCGTTTACTAACTGAGCTAAACGCAGCGCCATGTGTGTGCACGGTTGCTTAAAATTAGGATCTCAATTTTCGCTTCAGCAAAATAAACTCTAAATCCCAACGGGAAGTTATCACAAGCAACACTATTATTGCCCCTCTACTGCAAACCAGTAGATGGCAGTGTTGAATAGCTGTGGTCTATACAGCAGCTAAGAATGACCACAAACCAACCACCGGGAGCAGCGTGTGACTTGTCACAGCTAATTTATCTGTCACAGACGATCGATAGAGCTCAGCAGAAAAAAAAAAAAGGTTTACTGAAGAGGCAGCAGATGCTCTTCTGATAAAAATCTCAACAGAGCACAAAAACTCTTGCCCATTGTCAACATTCAGGAAACCAGACAGTGAAAGAGAAATCCACAGGGGCTTGTGGAGTGCAGAGACAAGAATGAGAAAAAGATTATTTCATGGTAAAGCACTGATTTGAGATAAGCTGTAAGACTGTGCTGAAGGGGACGGTGAGTCTTGGCTTCAACGCACACATACAGTTGTGGATATCTACGAGTAGTCGTTATCTTATCTTTGAACTGACTCTCTGGATTGAGTAATGGTACTAGCATTATAAATACAGCCTAACCTCCAACTAAATATGTGAGAACGGTTGAAATAATTCTGCATTCCTTCACAATGTTAGTTACTATTTGAAGAATTTCCAACACCGAAACCTCACAGAGCTAAACTAGACGAACCAGTTCCTGAGCTGTCTGGTATGAAATTCAATCTGCACAATAATATAAATATTAGGCTCTGTCATCATGTGAGACAAGGTTTGCAACTTTCAATACATATATTGTCCAACCTATCTGTTGATGTGGCTGAGTTAATTTGTCGGGCCCTCTTAGCAAATATTGGCCTTGTACTATTAAAGAGGCCATGAATGTCTCGTGCTGGAGGTATGAGGGAAGGGAGGGGTCGGCTACTCGTGTGCCTGAGGGCTCCTTGCCTTCACAAAAGGCCGTTGGGATCCGCCTGTCCCCTGACAGAGCATCGCATGTTCCCAATGGAAGCGCGGGGAATGTTGAAAAAAATAATTCTTCCCGGTGTTGCCTATTGAGGGGATCTAACTCGATCACAAAATGGAGAGCATTTAGGTCAAGTGAGGTGACATTTTCATTTGAAACAAACTTCTATTTTGCTGCACTTCGGCTCATGGATATAACCCAGTCGTGACTGTGAACTGAACCTGAAGCTTTTACACTTGCTGCTCTATACACAGAATGTTAAGTAGGTCTCTCCTAAGGCAAATCCTGTGCCGCACAGAAAGTAACGCGCTTCCCACAGCTGCAACAGTTCAGGTGGATTAGAAGAAAAACTAAATAGTATGTGCAGTGGTTGTGGCACAAACAGATATTCCAACTTCAACACTAAATTTATGGCAAGATAGACCACTATATATGTCTCAACAATGTTTGTTTTGGCTAAGCCAACGCATTATGGCTTGAGTTAACACATTGCGTCGTAGTAAGGCAAGAACTACGACCAATAGGACTTATTTCTAAACCAAAAAGAGTAGCAGGACTCACTGTTGTGCTTGAACACCCGAATCGTTGCTCCCGACAGTCTGGCCCCCAAGATGAGCGATGTGTGATTGAGCTCATCGCTCAGTATCAAACCACCCTGGAAATCAGCAGAGAGAAAGGATCTCATTCAAATTTCCACTGTAATCATTATAGTGTCAGATGTCATTTTCAATTGAGGGGTCTATACTTAGAGGAAAATAATTAGCTCGTCGACGCTATGATCAGTCTAACCGCATTTGGACGGAAATCATCTCTTTGTGTGCAGACAACCTACACAATTTGGTTTGAATGGGGGATAGCATTATTCTCTATGCATTTCTTCTATGTTGTGTTGCTTTTGTAGCTTGTCCTAGTGTCCAATGGGCGGTTTAATAGTCAAAAAAGGGATCCACGCGGCCAATTACATTCAAGCCCACTCCTCTTGCCCTGCATGAGTCATCATAAGGCTCCATCTCTACGTCCTCCGTGTGTTATAATAGTTGTATTTACTGTACATAAACATACTGTATCTGTCAGGACCTGCTGACGTTTCCTAATAAAGAGTATGGGGCTTCATGTTCCATTAAAATCAGCATGCAAATTAATTCAACTGTTCAACTGAAATTCTCTCCAGAACATTAGCATATTTAACACTGAAGCTCTCAGCATTGGACTTCCTTTAAATGAACTCTTGCAGAGGAAATGTTGACACCGTCTCAGTGATGGATAGCGTCGGAGTGGCCCGGGGTCCAGCTGGCCTGGTCCCTGGTCTACCAGCAGCTGTCACTCTAATGTATCCCTGCCTGTACACAGCGGCCTGTCCTGGCACGGCTGTCTCTGTAGGATGGAATTGGCAGTGTGGTTCGACCCCCGGCTCCTGCAGGCTGACTGTGGGGATTCAGCCTAAGGGGCTGCTGCGCATCCTGAGCTGCATAAACGACCCCGTTCTCATCACTTAAAACTGCCGACCCTCCCCTTCTTCCTGTCCGTTCCCATCACAGATATTTGTGCTGTGTGTTGCCCCCGGTAACCGAGGGCTGTGTGTGTGTGTGGCTGGTGTGCCGACAGGCCACAGTATGGTTAATCAAACCCTTGACAAAGCCTGTCCTTCCTTGTCTATGTGACTCAAAGCAGCTATGAATGCCCACAGCCGTATGCTCCTGGCCACTGTAATGTTTCATTAGGATTTTAATTAATGGGGTGGGTCAGGAGTTGTTTGCAGCAGAGTTTAGTTGACTGTTAATATTCAATAATATAGGCCATGTGCACAGAAGGAACAAAAGCTAATCTGATAGACTTCTGCTGCGATGTAATAGAACATCCTATATATTTAATCTGTTAAATTGCAAACCTTGCCAACGATTGCTGGAATGTTCATTGAGTTGACGGCAAAACCCATCCCAAAAGTCATGGAGGACTCCACTTTGAGGAAACTGGCTACAAGTTGCTCCAGCTCTTCGTGGATGCTCAGGGTACCTGTGAGACAAACAAATCCCAGGGGTATAAGTCACCATGACAAGATCACTTGTACCTGCAGGCTCATCTGGGAGTCCTTTAGCCCTTTGTTTCTTTTGTCATCCAATCACAAGCCTTGACAGAGATGAATGCCTCGTGATAAAAGGCAGGAGACCTACATGAAACAGCCTGCACCAGCAGCACGCACAGCAACTCTCCGGGCATTTCAAAAGATTTATAAAGACAATAGGTAGTACATTTGTAATTTAGTTTAACTACACTTTTTTCATCCCCAGTAATACAAAAAGTCAAGTTGGAAAATGGTTCTGCAGCACCAGTTGGGACTGAGGCAGTTGGGTGATAACCCAATGTGACAGGTGGGTAACAGAATTAATTTAGAAAATGTATCACATTGTTACCTCTCAACTGACATGGTGTTTTTCTATTTTGCGCAATAAAAACTGGGCTTTTGGGAGCTTCTCAGTACTGGCTCTGCAACCAGCTGAAAAAAAGAATTACTGTTATAACCAAGAGGACGGTAGTGAAAGAGTTTTAATGATACAAAAGCAACTACTTTGAAGGCAAGTGCCAACATCACAGTAGAACACCATAAAAACATTCAGTAAAAAGATTTATATTAAACATTTGTATATAGTTTTACAAGATTAAAGATGAATTACCATCAAACTAAATAAATCAATAAAATGAAGCTTGGTTTTGAGATATCTTAATGTTATTAGGGCAATCCTAATAAGACTATAGTAGTAAATTAAGTCAATAATCTTAGGAGTCATAAACCAGAGAGCAATTATTAAAAGTTCACAGACTGAATGTCTCGGGACGGAGTGGAAAATGTGTATTAAGATACGTGTAGGGAAACCATAACGCAGTGAAGCAGCTCAGTCTTTATCCCAGACAAAATCGATTCTTTTATTTCCTCAACCACTCAGGCTCACCTCCCCTGCTGGCATGTGCAGCATTTATGATCAGACTGCATTTGCTCCTTACGGGGAACCTTTTACATGAGGTCTGGGTAGTCTGCAGGTGAGGCAGAGTCCTCATTAGGTCACACTGGCTTTGCTGATTTGAGTTAGAATTACCAAGGTCGCCTCTCTGGCATCCCGATCATCAAGCGACACAGCAATCGCGGAGGTTAACGAGCCCTATTGTTAAGGGACAAAGATTGAGCTTGCTAAATCCTGCTCTTCTATTATTTCTCTTCAAAAGGCTTTACGACAAGAGAAAAAACAAAAACAATCCTGGATGGGTTAATCATTTCTATCACTGATGTCGACTGGAGTCTCAGCAGACCAGTGCGGCTTGGCTTTAACAAATGTACAACGAAAACAACATATTACATTAATGTATCAGTGCGCGCATACTGGTGAAATACTTATTACCATGTGTATTACCGGTAGATGCACACTTAGTATATTTTGGTAATTTGTCGTTCATTTTAACACATGACTTCACTACAGAATGTTAATGATTGCAGGAGAAGCTGCTCAGTGAGCTATCCATTAAAATAAATCCATGAATGTTTGACATATCAGTGTATGTATGGGAGGGAGTGCTTTCAGTGCACTTTGCATCTACTTTGCATCTCTAGTCATTATAAACACATTCTATTTTGCAGTATTATATAAATATTACATACTTTACACAGCCATGGCAGAATTATTTAACTGAACTAGACATTATGTACAGTTAATCGCTTGGCCTCTAAAAGAAAGGCCAAAATTAAACTACAGTTTCTAAAATTATTTCATATCAGATGAGTTAGTTGAGAAATGAGATTTAGAATTAAATCTGTCCAAATGGATGCGAGAGGCCCAGAAAGAAGTGTAAATTGTACTGGTGAATAGGGTAAACAAATAGATAACACTATGCACCTTATGCATTTTTGGAAGAGATCTAAACATTTGACAAAGGCAGGTTCAATCTTGTTGTAAAATCCTACAGCACATAGAGAACTATGAAACCTCCCCAGTTGATACATTACATTGAGACAATTATTCACGTAAGGTTGTTTGGAAATGCTATGTTCAAAAAGTAAAAAATAAATAAAAAACACAAATATGAAAGTAAAAACTCAATGAACTGAGTGCTTTTAAAAATAAATAAGAACTTGCGTGTCACCAATACCGAACTAAACCAGTTGTGATGGTGTCCCTGCTACTATTGGGATAGTTGGGTCTAATAATTGATGCTTAATAAGGTCTCATGGGAGAAATGCATGTGGTTTCTTTAGCCTCACAGTGAGCCAACTAAAACAATCCCATTTTGAAAGACAAACAAATAAACCAAATGAATTAACAATGGATGGTGCGGAGGAGTGCGTGTGTGTGGTTTTGTACTGGCACACTTCTCATTTGCACTTTACTTCCTCTGGTATTCTGTTTTTGTTTTTTGTTTTTGTTTTTTCCTCAAACTGGTGATATTATGAAACACGAGGCGGCCGCTCAACCCGCTTTGAGCTTTTCAGGTCTCCTCGAGCCAAGCCTACTTTCATTAGATATACAGTGCGGTCGTGTCAGAAGTGCCTCTTACATCATCGACGGTTAGAGAAGGAGCTATGACAACTATGCAGCCTGTTCTGTAATCTGCCATCAGGTTAACCCATTGGCATGTTTTGAACCAACCATGGCTGACATTGGGTGAAGGCGGGTACTCACAGTAAAGGCGCCAGACTATCGCAAGGATAACTCAGACATTTACGCCCACATCCACACTTATGGGGCAATTTCTATCACATATATAATACAGAAAATACATTTGGCATATGTGATGAGGGCATTGGAGTTTCATGACCGGTTTGACAGTCAGTGTCAACAGCGTCCGCTAGAGATTTTTTAAAACAGAGGCACATGTAAGAGAAATGTGAAGCACTTCAAGAAGAAGTGAAACAGCCCCTGCCATATGCTCTGGAATTATGAGGTGATTTCAAGTATTCTCAAGAAGAAAAAAACAAATGCCCTTGTTGGAGCTAGCTTAAGAGAAGAATAGCCACAAGTTGTGTTTCCATCTGTACCAATGCACGTTCACCACAGACTCACCAAGTTCCTGCCTTGTGCTGCAAACCCCAACTCCATACTGCTGCGTTTTGGCTGCTACCGTTTTCAGGAAGTCAGCGTTGTTCTCGGCAAAACCAAGGTAGTTGTAGGAACCCATGTTGATGGCATTGTGTATTGTCCTCCCAGTTAACCTGCAAGGTTAACATTTGGCTCACTTATACAATACACACACACAATAATAATATATTAGCCAGTTTCCTTTTATTTCCACAGAGGTACAGAATTAATTACATAGTATGAAAAGTAATCAACTTTCAATTAAACATAATTTATTATAAACGTGTTGTCAGTGGGGTTCAGTTTGTTAAAGAGCAATTATAATACTGTTCATAAAAAGGTGAAATACAGTGATTTCAAGCGTAACCAGCATTTGTTAATCAGTTTTTGTTGAAAGGTATATAATTGGATATTCAGTCATTATGCTGTACACGTGTACGTCAGCAGAGAATAAAAGTGAGAAAAGGTGGAAGCGAATTGTCATTATTCACAGAGTTTATAGCCTTACTGATCATTTTATCAACTGACCAATTCCCACATAAACATCTCCCGCACCCTTTCTAACCTTTGCAGTCACGATAAACCTCATAAAACGTGTAAGTCACGCCTACCCCTTTTTCTTGATTCATAAAGACAGATCCCCTCCCCGTGGCTCGGTTCCCATTTCTATTTCTAATAGATTCCCTGCCCTGCTGAGAGACAGAGTCATCTTAACTGTAGCTAAAAATCCAGAACTGCGTGTCCTTGCTGATGACATTCGCCAATATACCTTAGTTATTATCTTAGAGAGGAGGAGCTTGAGTTAATCAATTCAATTGTGGTGATAATAGTACTCAGCTACAGAAGACGGATGTGTGTGGTCAGGCTCAGCTACAGATGACGGATGTGTGTGGTCATGCCAGTTTGAGACAGGCGACAGCAGTAAACGTATGTTGGATTATCAGTATAAGGTTGGTGTAATCTGCTGTGTTTTCTATTATTATTTTGTATTCATAAATAACTGGATCAAAGTACCTGAATGTCCAGTTGTAGTCATCAGAAACCCTCTCCATCAAGTCAAAGACAGGTCCTGGTAGGCTGCACACTGGACGGTTCCAGTTGTCTCGTACCCTCATGTACAGGTTTCTTGTGTAAAAGTTCTCAAAATCTTGATAAAGTGGTACAAAATCCTGAGAGCAAAGACAAAAAAAAAAACAATTTTCCAGTAAGCATCTTCCAGGATGTCAATGAGTGGCTCAGCAATCCGAGCAAATAAGTAACTTCACTAAAAGCTAGTAAAGCACAAACAGTTCATGTTTCCTGCCCCCTAAACATAAATCAAAACATTCAACATGTATATAAAAAGGTTTTTTTTCACTTTAACAAGAAATAAATTAATTTTGCCACATTGCATTTATGTTAGCGTTTTTTAATATGAGACGCACAAAATAAACCATTCAGTACTACCAACTAACTAACCAACCTAACTGGGATTCTTTGATTTAAAACCTATGGAAATACAATGGCTTCCACGTGGCAGTGCTCAGGCTTTATCTTCTAACCAAAGCACAGTTAGCTGAAAAGAACCTCAATCCTCTGAGATTTAATTAGGTCTTCAGCAGATATTCTCTGTGGTGTCCTGTCTCACCCATGGCAACATTATAGAGCGGATGAACATGAAGAGAAGGAGGCAGAGAGAGGGTTTTGGAACAAGAATTTAAATAATTAGGGAAACACAAAATGTGTTGACACCCAAGGCATGCCCCATCTTCTATTCCAATTGTCTGGGTTCACGCGAGTCTCTAAACTACGTGTGTATGCCTGCAATAGGTCTAGGTTTGTGCCGATTGCACGCTTCACCTACTTTTTGTTCCTCTCTTTCCTGGGCAATGTTGCGCTTCTCCACGCCCACAGCTCGGAGGAAATCCCTGAAGTAGCCAAAGAGCGTGACAATGCCGAAGCCCAGGTATGTCATGACAGCCACGTACATCGGGGCCTGTTCGTAGGACTCCTGCCTGGGCTGCTTGGAGGCGACAGCAGTCCCCGGGCCCTTTGTCTATACAACGAGAGACGCACATAAGCGGCCTTGCATTGCAGCGGACAAAAGAAGACAACGCTGTTTGGATTCAAAGTGATTGTAGTTAACAAACAAATAAAAACCCAGATTAAGAGGAGACAGATAAAGGTGCACAGAGGGCACTGATGCATATTATTCAACACTGAGACAAGCACACTGGAGGGTTTTCTCTCGTAGGGTTATCGATAAAGGGTTATTTTGTCAACGGTAATTTAGTGTGTATGTGAACCCTCATGTTTTTCTGTACTTGGTGGAGCTAATTTCAGCTCAAAACATTAAACTTACTGTGTACTCAAAAAAAAATACATAAGGAAGAAATTGTCCCAGGATGTAAACTGACATAAGCAAGATGACAAATATGAACGATGAATGAATGAATGATGAATATGAAAAACGTTGGAAAGAAGAAAAATAGGAAAGATGTCACTTCCGGCGGACATTATGGTTTGATCCATCGGTCTCTGATATTGATTTAAAATGTCGTGCTATAAAATGTTCAACGAACGGATAATTATTTATTTTCAAAACATTCGTGTAAAAACAGTGTTTCTGAAGGCAACTGCTTTAGTTTGAAAACCCGGTGGTTAACTTTAACTAACGTTAATATACGTTATGATGCTAACGGTCATATGCTCGGTGCTAGCTAACGTTAATCCATCCCTTCAGCGTCAGCCGTTAACTATAACACGTAAGTTACAAACGACTTTTAAACAAGTGGGGACACATTACATAAACTAACACATATTATGGAAATTGAATGATGTAACATTTGGCACGGTCTAATTTAACGTTACATAAGTTAATTTCAGGCTTAAACCAGGTGACATATTTGTGCAGACGTCATAGCACAAACATTTTTTTTTTTTTACAAAAAGGCCACAATGTGCTGCAAGAGTCAACAGCTGAACTAAACCCCGCATTCACGGTCCCGAGAAGCACAATGAAAACCTGTTCTTTATAAATGGCAAGAACTTCAGGGCGCGGTCGTTGGTTCGTGTATTGCTATTTACTTTGTTCTTCTTAGGAACCAACAAGCCCCTCGTAAAAAATAAAAAAGAAAGCACATTCCTAACCACGGTGTTTGTCACGCGGCAAAACGCGACACAAGAAGCATTAATATCACTAAACATCGCGAGGCACAACTGTTGATACCGAAAGAAGTTCCAACTGCCGAATCCTTCCCCTTCACAGGAGGTTTTAGGTAGGAAGCCCCGAACCAACTCAACCCTCGCTCAGATGCAGGTGACAGCTGATATATACCTCCCAAACAAAATGGTACAAATACCCGCCTCCGTGAAGGGAACCGTAAAGCAGGTGCACGAAACAAATTGGAGTTGACAAATGTGTGTGTGTGTGTGTGTGTTTGTGTGTGGTTCAGAGACCCCTGCCGCGCTGACAGACGCGACGTTACCTCTCTCCGGTTGTGAAAGCCATTTCTCTTGATATCCTCGCATTTGAGCCCGCTGAGGCTGATCTGCGGCAGGGTGCTGGTGGCCACGGTTATTGCCATGTTCCTCTGCGGCAGCGCGGCGGCGGACTCTCTGTTTTCACCGGCAGGTGTGCGTCTCTCGACTTCCAAAGGTGACTTCCTCCTTTCGTTGCCTCGGTTCTGCCTCTCTGTTGCGTTTGAACATCGCACGTTCAGCTGTTGCTCCGCCAATCCCGTCTGTCTTCCCCCTTTTTTTTTAACCCAAATGAAACTAAGTTACACATATCTTGAGTCATGCAACTATGCAATTCCCTGTAAAATAAGCAGTCATACCTTTTGATAGTTTGGGCAGGCTACATTTAGTGAGATTATATAAACTATTATGTAAACTTGTGAAACTGGTTATGCTGAGACATACAAATACTCACATAGGGGTTTGTACTGTCATTGTTTCATCTTCTTTCAACGTCAAGTGAAGAAATACTACTGGGTTGGAGGGTAAACACCAAAAAACATATTCTGCTTATTTTGTATTTGCAGATTTAGTTTATTGTCTTATTTTTCAGAATGGCCAGTCTGATCTGACAGAATATTAATAGTAAGCCTCACAGTCACATTATAGATTGTTTAACCACAGGCACTCAGAAATTAATTTAAGGCTTTATATATGTATATATACATAGTAATATAATGTGGCACTCCTCTCGTTCTTGCTATAAATCTTTTCTTCATGCCTTTACAGGTGAGAAGGCCGGCTCAGCTACATCTGCAGCGTCTATCTGGCTCCTGGACCACCTGAGGAGGCGGATGACTACATTCATGGAGGCTTCAAGTCATTCTCATAGCACTAGGCCACTGTCTTCAATGTACCGGTAACTAAAGCAAATATTTTCTTTAATGTTTTCATAGATTATGTTTGAGGTTACAGCTCTAAGCAGTAATGTGTGACAATCCAGCTCATTATTAAAATTATATAATTATTATAACCAGCTCATCCAGCTGGTTATAATAATTCAGCTATGTGGCATTGTTTTCACAAAGCGCAGAGCCATTAAGAGCAGGAAGGGGTACTACTATTTGTGGCCATTGTAGTTAGTCTGGTTGATGATTTACTTAAGTGTCATAAATCAGAAACACTGCTATTCACAAGCCTGGTAAACTTATTTCTTCATGTGGGCTGTTGACATTGTTCTCTCTGCCTGCATTGTTCAGATTTTTCCGTCTGGGCAACAACACAAAGAGATGGCCGGCTAATTAAAGGCCAGCGACCACTCACTGGCTTTGTGGTGCACTTAGTTTTTGGGCACACAGTAAATCAAAAAGATATGCAGAGGATAGTAAGTGAAATTAGCAGTTTTTCTTTACCTATTGACATTGTCCTGTTCGTGTTTTGGAGAGCAGGTCCCTTGGTGGCGTGCAGAAGCACAAGTAGAGAAGCAGATAGTCCAAGTGATAATATTCCAGTGAACTCGGAGTTTGGAATGCTACTGCATAGCTGAACATTACGCAGAGCGATTATGACATGTTTGAGGTGACAGTATCTTGCTCTCAACTCTACTTACAGCGTGTTTGGATACGGAGCACAATAGGTGAAAGGACTGCCGTACGGGACATTTTACAGCCTGTCCAATATACTCCACCTCCAAGTCATTTCAAGACAAATCATTTATCATCCATAACAATCACCAGACAGGCATTGTTTCCTCCTTTCCCAATCCACCACAATCAGAAAATGTGCCGTCTCCAACATTTGTCCAGCCTTCGTAGGTCTTCATTTCATGGCAAAACTGGTAGAACCAGGCCTTTAAATGCATTGTGTGATGTATTGGCTGAAAACACCCCGGCCCTGCCGGAAGACACGCGTCATCTGCGCTTCAGAGGCGCCCTCACTCGACCTCTAACGTGTGAGGGTTAGTTGGTGTTGTCTAATAACTCAGGACCGTTTGTTGAGTAGGGAAAGGGGGTAGTTGACTGCCACCTCCATGAGGGCAAAGTAGGAAGGCTGACAGAAGAGTGCGGGGAGATCGTGGGTATTGCAGTTTGAGTAAAGCAGAGAGGGAATCACATATTGTGAATCCGGAGTCGTCGGCTTGCATCCAACTGTTAGAGGGTAGCAGGGCCCAGTCTTGGTAAATTAAAGGTGTTTCCTCACCTCCTCTTACATCAGCTTAGCTTGTTGTATGGAGCTGTCACATCGGCAGCTGCCCCCCCCCGCCTGCCTTCACCACAGGATTGCTTTCTAGCAGAGGGACCAGATGTAACCTACATCTGTCAGGCTTCATTAGATATGTCAATCGGCATGCTTTGTTCCTTTTGGCTTCATAAATGTGTTTCATTGTTCATTTTTCTTTTCCAATTTAGACAATTATGATTTGGAATTTGAAGTTTCCAGCATTGCACTTTTGACATAATTTATCTTGCTGTTGGAAGTACTGTCATTGAGGGTTTAACTGAAGTTGATCAATCTTTAAGGAGCATCACAAAATTAGGCTCATCTCCACAGCGGAATCCTCCATTTTACACTTCAGCGGGTGTCTTGGATATTTTTAAATGTGACTGAAGCTTGGACTTCATTTCTGTGCTTCCTGTTGGATATTGATCGATGTTCTACTCTTTTAACACGGCTAATCCTTTTATGTCTCACCCAGGCTGCTCTTCTCTGCATTTAAGATTATTGGATGCAGTTTTCCTTCTTAAGATGTGATGGGGAAATTTATTTTGGAGCCTCTGTGAAAGAGATTTCCCACCTTGAATACAGATGAAGGGTGAAATGGTGTATGCAGGGAATAAGCTGCCAACGGCGCCCGGTGGGACGTCTTCGTCTACATTGCTTTCATGTGAAGTAAAATAGGCTCTCCTTATATACATACCCAATACTAATCCATATTCAATCTGCTCGCATGTCTTTAATAGATTTATCTTCACAAATTTGCTAGCTTGACTAAGTATTTATCTCGAATTCATGTTTGGATCTTTATTGAATTAAAAATACGCTTATGTATGTTCATTCGACACTTTGTATTCCAGAAAGCTCGCACCAATCAATGAAGGTGGCCCATTAGAGACATGGGTTGCCCCTCCACCTAGTGGCAGTGCAGGGGACAACACTTCAGCCCACAATCCCACGGACGGCCCAAATGCCACCTCCCCACCCGTGTTTTCCCTATTAAGGAAAGATTTGATTACAAGCAAAGGCACTTGCTTTAAGGTGGTCAGCGACATGTGGCATTAGCTCACCGCGTTGCCTCTGTAGCACTGTCCAGGGTTTCAGTGTTTATGGATGATCTCTTGTCATGCTGTGCTGTTTGAGGCCAGTTGTAATGCGGGGCTATATTTAAACTACCCCTGGGGTGCCTTTAAATCTTGTAATTTCTTTGTTAGGCCTGGATGACGTGATTTTAATAGCCACATCAGACAGAAATAAGGAAAACACAGGGAAAAGAGGAGTATTGAGTCTTGTACACGGTGCCGTCTTACATTCATATATTACGTCTAAGCCTTTTGCAGACGGACTTATCACGGGAGATTTACAAGCAGAATAATCTGACAGTCCTTACATTTGGATGTTAGAGGGGTGTGATATTATGCGGTGTGATACGGTTTGTTGTTTGTTTTTTTCGGCTGCCAAGAGGGAGAGTTAAAAGCGTGTCTATGTATAGTTCCGCCAAGCACACAATCCATTTGGACCACCACGAGAAATGAGAGAATTCTATCAAGTTGATGCATAAGGAAGGCTACATTGTTTTTTCCGTTGGCTTTTTCGAGGATAAGAATACATCATGTGTTCTTTCACCCTAACCCTAAATAGTGTCAACAACTTAAATTACATTTGGCTGCATTATTTCTAGAGAATGAAGGACAGACTGAAACATCCGACTGTATTTGAAAATCCAATTTGGCTTTAGTTATAAAAGTAGATAAGTGAATTTGTTTTTGACTGCCTGTGTTATTATTGATGTGAACGGTACAAATGTCTTCGATTAGTTCTGCATGGGAGTAGAAACACAGGTCTGTTCGCTCCTACAGCTGCAGTAACCTTGAGTGGGTGTTCACATCCACAGGGGGTGGAAGATTCCCCTGTTCTCTTCAAAAGCAAAAGGGATGGGGGAAAGACAGACTCAGAGAGAGAGAGAGAGAGAGAGAGAGACAGAGAGAGAGAGAGAGACAGAGAGAGAGAGAGATATTTATAGAGCGAGTGGGAGAAAGCGAGATTGTGGCTTGAAAGGTTAACGTAAGAGGGAGCAGCAGAATGAGGGAGAAGGAGAATGAGACTTGTCGGGTCGAACAGGATGATGGTGGAAAATGAAGATGAAACAAGAAGACTTGGAAATGGATGATACTGCAGACGTAACCGGAGGCCATGTGGTCCCCATTTCTGAGTCTCCGTAGGTCATGTTGGCACTTAATGTCTTTGTTGACCCAAGTTAAGCCCTGCAGATATTGTAAATGAGGCACAGAGGGCCTAGATGAAATATTTTCTTATGGTTTGTCCTGGGTTTTATATCCCTGTTTCCTCCTCTCTCATGTCTATGAACATTACTACTAAGTAAAATGGGCTTTGCTGAAGTGTTATTAATGTTGTATAACCTATACATGAGTCAGAATGTGAACTCCAAGCCTTAACATTCCCGTCTAGATAGAATTGTGTCACCAAGGCAACAGCTAAATCTTCGTCTCTGAAGTCAAATTTTGTAGAATTTCTGTTTTTTCCCTGCTCTGACAACTGAGGCAGCCATCCGTCCCAGGCACCCTGGAATCTGTTGGTCTATCACATTAACTCTCTGCAAGGTTCCAGACCTCAACCAAGCCTCGTCCCCGGCAGTGATTACAGTTTTCTGTACACAGTGACTGTCCCGAACAGGCCCACTGAGACTTTGTACCGAAGCTCCTTGATGTTGACAGTCAGCTATCAAGATAGGAAGCCAAACAGGCAGGAAAACGGCAGGCAGCGCCTCCCAGGAGCGAGCCCCTCTCCAGGCCGCTTCATCTATGGACAGTGATGGGAGGTTTTAGTTACAAGTCAGCGTTGTACTGAAGTGCAGATCCTATACATATATTATAATGGATTTAATGCGTCTGAAATGTAAAATATTTCACTGAGCTTTGTTGCAGGCCGAGAGGGGCTGATGATAAAAAGTGCTGATTGTCTTTGTACCTCTTGTTTGAAATATTGTTTTGTTTTGATGTTGTTGTCCAATAGACACTAAACACGTTTCAATTCAATGCATGGCTTCTGAAAGGTAACTAGGATGGAATGATTATACGTTGCCAGTGAAATAAGTTGGAAGATGCCTTTTTATTTTGGAAGAAATTGCAGCAAATGTTGATTAAAACATGAAAATAAAGTAACACTTTAAACATTGTGCAAAAATATGAAGCAAAGATCAACATGCTCAGTAAATGTCATTATTTATATTAATTTACTACCATGGATGATTTCACCTGGTCTGCCATACAACCAAATTAAACACACTAAATAAAAAAAAATTAAAGAAATAAAAAAAGACCAATAGCTGAAGGCGCTTTTTTATAAAAGCTTTCTAACTGGAGCACAGTTATGAGAGTATCAATCCACATTACGGGATACTGCTGTTCCACTCATTTCCTACGCGCTTGCAGCCCTGCGATGGGAACATCACAGTTACTCATTTAAAAGTCATATTCACTATGTGTTACTTCTTCCAGCTTTGGTTGGAGAGGAATGTTAATAAGCCCCATACGCCATGCAGATATAAGACTCCTTTTACTGCAGCGCAGGTTTATTCCTGGACTTTGTGAGGTAACACGTGGGAGGAGCTGGACTCTCATGCCTCTTATTCTCCTAAAATTGGGGACAAATGCAATTGCTAGTGCAAACCGAGGCTGGACGCTTGCAAACAAGTGCTCATGGACATTTAAAAAATGTGGAGAGAGTATGTAGCTCGATGACTGTATTATCGGTGGGATGGGCTTCGATTAAGGCCAATATAATCCAAAATCCATTTTGGGCGAGATTGAACACGGGCATGAAACTTGTTCTTTGAGGCTGCTGCAAATCTATGGACTTCAGTGTCTACAGTTCACTTCACTCTCACTTTGGAGTCCAGAGAAGTACGGGTCAATACAGGAAACTCTAAGAGCAAAGAGCAAAATGAATGGCTCAACATTAAGACTTCCCCCATTGCCTCCTTGCCCACTTGCCTGGGGTGACTGAACTCGGTGTACCTCCTTTACTTCCAATTCCAATAGACCAAGTGAAAAACATATTTGATCTTTATTACGGGACAAAAATCTGCAAACATTTTTATCGGGGAGGTTGCTATGATTGTTCTCGAGTCAGCAATCCCTGATAATGCGACATTGTGTATTACAGACCTGTGATTCATTCCCCCGCACGCTGCTCAGAGTAACAGCGATGGCCGAGGCTTCATTTGACAGCACGAGTTCTCTCCCAAGACAGTCCTGCTTGTTAGGGAGCTAACATCGAACAACAACAGAGGTTGCATGGAGTTCTGGCAAATTAGCTGAGATAAAGGCTAATGTGGAGCCCCGCATCACTCCTCCGGTGTTTACAATGGGTTCGAATGGAACAGCCTTACACAAGGGATCTTTAACGCAAACTTGCTTTCATTTGCTGTTTCAAGCAAAGGTGTTAAAACCTCAAAATTGCAGTCATGCCATGCCTGTGCTCAGACCTGGAAAATTGCATTTTGGCAGTATGTCATCACCGTGGCTCTCCACCAGACGGCCTGACACATACTTTACGGTTGAAGCTATGAAATATAGTGCACTAATCCTTCTCGCTCTGATGGTAACGTGATGTTTTTCTATGTGTTTCTTTGTTTTTGGGAAAGTATCAAACCAAGAAGAGGCCGAGTCAATTCAGCAACAATATTTACAAGCAACACTTTTCCAGTGTTGAAAGGAATTGGTCGGCCTCGCAGTGTTGAGTCTGAGTCCGCAGTTGAGAATGATGAAGGCCGGCTGTGACACTGGTGACAAAAGGCCTGTGAGTCTGGAGGCGAGCTGGAAGGGTTGCATGCAGGCGGAGGCAGGGGAAAGGGAGAGACGGGTGACTGATGGGCATGTGTCAACCCACCCACTCCCTGTGGCAAATGTTGAGAGGGAACGAAGACGGCTCGCTAATTGGGGCGGGATGAAAAAGTCACTGTCACTCATCATCATCTTCACTAATGTGTTTGGAGGCCGAAGCCGGCTGAAGCGTAGAGCTGAAGGGTCAGTCGCTGGTGTCCCGAGCAGTGGAATGAAGGATGCATTCCCACTCAGAACTTTTGGGATGTAGCTCTTGCACTGATAAGATTGGTACTACACTGTGCCGCTAAACACAATGCTTCTTTAGTTATTGAACCTCTGTACATTGAATTTGCAAGGCAATTTCAGAGAGCAGCTCATGTGAGACCAAGCCTTGCACAGATGATTTTTCTTATTCTTTTACACAACCTGTCCAACAGCGAACCACTCCAGCAAAAAATACAAATGTCATGTATTGTCACCATGGTCATAATGGAGTCCAGGTCTTGGCGCTCTAGCAGATGTAATATCTCTCTGACCTTGATTTGTCCCTTTCTTTCAGAAACCCTCATGCATGTGCACGGCAAAGAGAAGCAGAGTGGGTCCACGGCCTCTAGAATGGACTGTGAAATGACAGAAAGACACATTGTCCCAGCGTCCTGCTCGAGCAGTGTGAAAAACAGGTAGTGACAGCGATAACAAAACAGGTAATGAAATGGTGAGGGCTTTTCCTCCTGTTGTCTTTTTTGCTGTGTTTTAGCCCATGCTGAGTATGAGTATGTTGCCGTTTCAGTTTCAGCTGGTGTTCGCGGTCACATTAAGAAGCCAACTCTTAACAGCAAGACGATTTAATTTTACACAATAAACAATTTTTTACATTTTTTCCCCTCACACAAATTGAACATTGCTTTCGGCTGCAAAAACTAAGCTTCAACAGGTATAATTAAGCTCAATTGATCATATAATTAGATAAGTAGGCCACCAAAAACTCCCAGCCTTCTCTTAAAGGGCTCTTAAGTACCTACTAGAAGGTGGCAGATTCTCTTTTTAGTAATTCCTGCACTTGAATCTAACGATCTGAACAGCCAACCAGTTACATGATGTAATTTACGGGCCCTTTTGAAACCTGCTAAGATCTCATTTCCATAACCGTATAACTGGGAAAACAACAGCAATTATGGGATTGGTATTAGCATGAAGTGACACTCCTTAGCTGCTGTCATGGAGCAGCTGGGTAATTGGCCCCGAGCTGTACATTTGGTCACCCTATGGGACTGTCCATGTCTTGTGGTGGAGACACCGGCAACTCAACGTTGTCGCACTTATCAGCTTGCTGCCCTCTGAGGCAGATGCAGCATTTCTTAATTAACCAAGTGAGTAGAGCGGGGTTAGTGAGTGACACTGCAGGTGTTCACCGGAACCATCAAGCCGCGATCATACATTCACAGTCAAGTCTCTCGTCTTTTTGCTTTTGCTTTTATTTCATAAGATGCACATTGTGCAGATAATTGGCATTCACAGTGCATTAGGAAGAGACAAAGAGGCCCTCATGTACGTACATTTGCAAACGCAGCGTTATCTGCGCAGTGGCCAACCCGCAGAAAGCGCTCGCTGTGATACTTCAGTTTACGTCCTATTTACAAAACCTGCAGTTCATGGGGTAATCAGCGCCTTTGTCCGCCTTTGTAATGATTTCGTATTCACTCAACTAAAAAAAAAGTGTGATCCTTGTGGCAAAAGTCCTTTCGGCTCGTCTCCTCAGCCGTTGTCGCCGTCCGGCTCAGTTTACTGCCGCCATTTCACCAGGAGGCATATGTGAGGAAACCCGCATTCTGGTTTACACCTGCTTTTAAGAGGCAGAGAATTTTCTGCGCTAAAAGGAGGCGCGCTTTACATACATACCGCGGAATCCATAATAAGACGAACTTTAGGCATCCATCTCTTTATGGGAAACTCCCACTTTCCCCTCAACCCCCCTCCTGAATGCATATGCATGACACGGAAAGCGCAATTTGCCTTTGTCAGTTTCCGCGACAGGCAGTGTGAGCTTTTACCTCAGTGCAGCATGTCTGTACATACCTCGCCATGCTTTTATGGGCGCACGTTACGAAACAAATACGCTGGAAGTGGCCAAAAAAGTGTTAGTACATGAGGCTCAGAGAGTTCTATCGCTGAGAATGAAAGTGGACACCAGAGGCCTGCATGGTGTTAATTGAGGTGTAATGCGATTTGTTTTGCTGGCCCTTCAAACAGCAGCGCCCGGAACATTAAACCAGATCCCCCTGTGATTACTCTCTAATGGCCCGAGTTACATCACTGTGCTTTAAAACACACCACAACTGCTGAAGATAAAATGATGACACTCTGCAAAGTAAATGACCATTTAAACCTCACTGTCTTTACGACACCACTGCAGTGCTTAAACTGCCCTTAAACAGACCTGTGTTCAAGCAGATTTTCAAAGCCAAAGGGCTGACAATACCGTTTGTATCAGGTGCACATTTGTGCTTGCATAATAACTCAACCCACTGAGCCTTGCAGGGGAGGTGGTGTGGAGGCAAAGGACCAACCAACAAAGAGCTATAGTTATAGAAGTGCACACAGGGTCCTTTCCATGTAGGCCATGCGCTGCAAAAGTCTTGTCGGTTCATTAAACGCCTGTAACCATCATTCACCATCATCCGCTGAACATAATTACGCACTTCAGCAATGTGACTTGGAGGAGTCTGGCATAATCAGTAGAACTTCCACCCGATGTGATATGCCCTTTTTACCGCTCAAAGCACTATAGAATTAAATTAGAAAAAGTCGTCATGCACGTCTCTGTTGGAAATATGATGACATGGTTACTCACAGTAACCCACAGAGCTCATTGTGATCTTTTTTTATTCAGAACTACTTTTCCGCAAATCATGTCTGCAAGCTGTTTTGCTGTTTTGCGGTTTTGTTGCCTATGTTCTGGTGATTGTGTTGTTGTAGAAACAAAAGATATGGAAATCTACATATACATGTTTTAGATCCTTGATTGGCACACTGATGGAATCCTGAATAGTGCTTATATTCTTAAAAGATATTGTACTGGTGATATAACCCTCTTATTTGTGTCTGCTTGCTATGACCAGGTGGCAAAAACTGTTGCCTTTATGTCAAGAACCCAGTAGGCAGAAAAATAATGAATAAAAAGAAAAACTTCATACGGTGTCCTAACGAGACCGTCCTACAGTTTCATGCCTGGAATTTAACCCTGAAAGAGAAATCCAGATTCCTGGAAGGTCCGGGCGTGCCACTAATGACTGCTCTTCTGTTACCATCAGCTCTTTGAAGACGCTATTCATTTCAAAGTGTCTGCGAGTGGTCGATCTTTGTTAATTGGACAGTTTCTGCAATGGGGATCATTTGCATACAAAGGGCACAATTTGCCCCAAATGTATGCATATTACCTCATTTGAATACGCGTAAAAAGCAAAGGAGCAGCTATTTGCTTGGCATCACAGTCACATCACAGAGGTGCATTTCCGCCTTTACGAGTGCGTCGAGAATTGCAATATCTTTTTGTCTTATTCAGGTTTTATTGGCTGCTAAAAACAGACTGATGGATCCCACCCTTCCTAAAAGAAAAAAACTAGTTCCTGTTGTGTATTGGATGAAGTAGCCCTTTTTATGGTACAGTCAATGACCTCATTCAAAAAAACACGTGCGCGCGATGGGATTTTGTGGCTTATATTTGTCAGTGTTGCATCACTTTCTTTGATACCATATGCAGTAGGGACGATGTGCACAATGAGATTTCTTTTCTCTATTGTGAAACAACCTGGCTACCAGGTGCAGGCCTGTGGGGAACGTATTTATTTATTATAGAGAGGCGTGTTGATGCGCCGGGGCTATACCCGACTAAACCAATCATTCCTGAGTGACCTTCCTGCATGGGTGCCGCTGCACTGCAGTTCATGAATGTTTAATGGAAAGGTTGGCTGTTTTGGGGCTGCCAATCTGGGTTTGCTGCCTGACAGAAACATACCAACTCAAAGGCAAAAGGAAGGTTAAAAACTGTGGACGCTTCAAACAGTGCACAGGCACCAGGCACAGTGCCATGTATTATGATTAACTAAAGCTATTGGTTATCAGCTGAGGACACTTGATAGATGGCTAGAGTGACACGTGCCGATGCAAAGCACAGAGCGAGAAAGTGTGTGGGAGGAAAAAGTAGAGATTGAGAGAGGGACTTTGTAAAGAGAACAGGAGAAACGGGGACAATACCTTTTGTACAGTACGCCCACCATACACACTCGTATGTCATGAAACACCTTGAAATAAGTTTAACAAAAAAGACAATAGTAAGAATTAGTTTGCAGACAGAAAGGATCACACTAAAAGAAGTTGGGAAAGATGATTATGTTAGAGAATGAAGGGGCATTTTACATTAAATAGTGAGACAATGTGTGGAGGGGAGGTGCTGGTTTGGTAGCTCATACAGACTATTATATAATATTTGATAATATATAAACCAATCTACATCACATCCTGGAAACAAAAGCTCAACCTATTAGTGTCTGCATAGTCAATCATGGCTTCAACTAACAGCATCAAATGAAAACAAAGTCTCGTACTTTCTGTTTGCAAGGTAAACACAATCAGCTTTTCATATCTGTCTGACAGCAACCCACTCATCCAGCTTCACGGAGCACAAAGGGAATTCTAGTCAACTGTGTCATGAAGTGTGAGCATGTGTGTGTGAGTGAGAGACCAAGGCTACCTTCACACCATCAAAGCGTGGGGGGGGAAACTTTTGCTCCTGTGAAGTCTAATATTTAAACTTCCAGGGTGGCATGACGAGATAAAACCTTGAGCTCTGAACTGAAATCTGAGGGAGAGGAGAAGCAGATGAGTCAGCTGCACTAACAGTGAACGGCACATGAATATGAAATCAATGAAAATGTTCTACTTTAGAAGTCCTACATATTCAGAGACTACTAATAGATTGACAACAAGTGTGAAGAAAGGGAGGCAAAAAAGGTCAGATGTGACTGTAATGAGTGATAGTTGTTCATATACAATTTGCAAGAGACACTGACTTGCATGTATTTAGTGACACCTCACTGCACTTTGAGGGGTCACTTTAAATTCCCATCGGTTCTTAGTTAGAGAGAAGCGCTAAAGAGAGGAATAAACGATAGAGGCCTCTCTGTCCGGGGCTGTGATGCACAGAGCAGGTCTCATTGATAATGCATCAGGGGAAGAAATCCATCTGGGACACATTCATTTAATGCATGAAGCAGACATTTATACATAGAAATGCTCGTGGTCTCTTACTCCGAAACCTGTGGCCAGCTTAGCGGCGGTGTCCTCTTTCGGTCGTCAGCGAGAACAAGAGCTCAGGTGTCCGGGATTCAGCGGCTCCCCTTCACATCTCTACTGCCCCGGGTTCCAGACAAAAGCATGAAAGTTTCATGAGGTGTCTAAGCGGCAGTGGGCACATTCAACGTTGTCCGGGTTGTGGCGGCCTCCCCGCCTCTTCTCTTCTCACATCATCATATCTGTTGGCGCTTTCCGGTGAAAACACCAACCCATGTGCAGGGATTGCCAAACGTGCTCCTGCAGAGGGAGGACGGGCATTTATCTCTCTTGGTTATGCCTCTGACCTTTTGAAAATATCAAAGATTCAATCTTTAATTATTTATGAAGGCTAGTTGTGGTTATGGGGGAGGAG